CAAAGGTCTAATCCTGTCCAGATTAAAAGCAATGAGCAAGAGCTGCACTAGACCACTATCCTGCAGTAGAGCAGGGCACATTAAAGCTCACAGCACACACACCAAAAAGGATTTTGCAAAATGCAAGTTCATGTCTGCTATGTACATTGTAAGAAGCCCGACAGCATCAGTGACATTTACTTTTCTATGGAGCACAAGATCAGCTTAGAAATCTGTGGTATCACTGAAATAAGATCCAGTGGGAAGCGAGGGAGTGATGCTGGGGAATCTGTACTTCTGGCTGGATTCTCCATTACCTACCAATAATAACCCGAATAAAGAGCTATCCCAAGGACCCCAGAGCTACCCACCCATACAACTTCAGCAGTCTGCAGTCTGGTTTGTACTTCTTCTAGATTTCAATGTGGTGAAAAACACGAAAGGGATGAAGTACACATTTTAGCCCCAAAAGCATTTTTCCTGCATTACTTATTCTGAGCTGCAATGATTTGTTTTGTTTCTTTTTTTGCATTAGAAATATGCAACTCATTTTAAAAATGAACTATTCAGTCACAGTTGCTTTTCTGCAACTTAGAAGCCATGCTTCTGTTCCAATTCCCTAAGAAGTACTCGAGGCTCTCATAAGCATATATACAGGAATGACAAAATACTTTGGATAAATGGGAGATTGTAGCCATGCCTTTAATTATTGTTTTACACGAAATTTCAGAGTATTTTTCCCTGAGAGCTTCCAATAAATGGAGTTAGTATTTGAGAAGTTATCTGCACAGCGTACTTCACGGTACCTTGGCCAGTAACAATGCCACGTTCTCTCCAATTAAATAAAAATTGAAGCACAGTACTTCAGCACAACCCTTTTATAATTCTCTTGAACCTGCAAATTGAATCAATACTGGAGAACAGTAAAAGTATTAGCAGCAAGGCTTCTTACCACTCAGTGCTTCCTAAAGCCATTTTGAACGTTTGTTCTTAGGCACAACTGCCTTGGGAAGGACACAGCTGTTCTCCCCAACTCACAGAGTGCAAAATCAACTTAGAAAGTTACACGAGGATTAAGAAATAAAAATAAAAAAGCGGGGATTTGGGACTGGGAATTGGAGCAGTATGGGAACTTTCTGGCATTTTTTCCCTTTCTGACAAGAAATGTGGATCGGTATAAATCAAACACAGCTACAAGATTTCAGGACAACAATTCCACTCAGAGCCAAAGAGGTGGGACAGCGATAACACAGCACTACGCTCTGTCTGACTCGCATTTGAGATTTCAGTCAGGTGTATCTGAGCGACCATCCTCGCATTCAAATACCTTCTCAATACTGTTTTCCCACAAAGACAACTGAAACTTTAGCATCAAAGACAAAAAGGCAAGAAACTGGAGAATGAGAGGCCATTTTCCATCACTCCTGCTCAAAAACCTGATGTTTGTTCTCAGTCCCAAGCAGCCCACTAGATCGTCCTGTGCTCCAACCACAACCTAATAACTTCAGCCTGTTCCCAAAGCATCTCCAAAACCTCAGGAATCATCAGCCCTACGGAAACATTTCTTAAATCATTCAGTGTAAATGTATAGTTTTAAGTAAAAACATGAGGCGTAATATGAAAACACTAATAATTTTTCCATTATTTAGCAAAAATCCTGATCTGTAACACATCTCAACTCCAGCATTTTGGAGCACAGTACGCAAAATATCTTTCTTTCTCGAGGCGCCGGTACGTGACCCTTGGTTCCAGCAGATGGAGCTGCAGAAAGGCAACGAGGCTTCAGCACGGAGTTCCCAGCACCGTCTGTTGGACACCCCTATGTAACAGCATCCAACAAACCGCTTTGGGACGCTTTGTGAACGTTCTTCTGCACGTTCAGAACTTTCCGACACGCCGCGCGGATGTATTTGCAAACTCTTTTTTCACACAGAGGGCGGTGAGGCACTGGAACAGGTTGCCCAGGGAGGTTGTGGATGCCCCATCCCTGGAAGCATCCAAGGCCAGGCTGGATGCGGCTCTGGGCAGCCTGGTCTGCTGGTTGGCGACCCTACACACAGCAGGGGGGTTGAAACTAGATGATCACTGCGGTCCCACAAGTAAAACCCGGCGTCGCCCTCGGGAAAGAACGCGACGCGCACGCAGGGAAGTCCGTGCGCTCCGCGGGCAGTGCGAGCACACGTGGAAGGGCCGGGCTGCGGGCCGGCAGGGCGAGGCGCATCGCCCCGCTCCGAAACGCGACGGCGGAGACAAAGATAGACGAGAAACGCAGGTCCTGAAGGACTGCGGCACAGGTACGGCATTCGCACAGACCTCCTACGCGAGACAAGGGAGGAAAGCGAGCACCTGCAAGAGAAAGGCGGTTTCCGCGCCCTCGGTGGTGCCGCGAGCCCCGGCCGCGCCGCGCCGCCCCCCGCGGCCTGAGGTGAGGTGAGGCGGCCCCGCGCCCCGCGCCCCCCGCCCGCACCTGGCCCGCCCGCTCCTGCCGCTGCCCTCGGGAGGCTCCATGGAGGCGTCGCGTGGGGCTCCGGCGGCTGCAGAAAAGACGCGCGCGATGCTGGTGCTGCCTCTGCCGCTGCTCCTCGGCGCGCGCGGCCGCCGCAGCCACCTGGCATGGTGTGAAACGGCGGCTGCCGGGAGCCTCGGCGCATGTTCAGGCAGGGCCGGGCCGGGCCCCGCCGACGGACCGCCCACACAGGTGAGCGGCTGCGGCGGCGCCCGCCCCGGGCGGAGCGAGGACGGGGCGCGAGGCGCTGCGAGCGGCTGCGGGGCTTCGCCTCTTCTCCCGTATCGTGCGGGGGCTCGTGCCGCACTGCCGCCGGGCCCAAGCCGAATTCTCACAGGTCATCAACCAAAAAATTTAACAAAAATTGAGGACGGTAGCGCAGGTACGCAAAGGTACTGTGACAGCCGTAAGGGATCCACCCCGAAGACGTTTAACTTGAATTCAGTCTTAAGACCGTGAAGCAATTTCCAGACCACAACCAAAAACCGCGCACTAAGAGCCAAGACGCTCTTGAGAAATTCCGAGAGTGACGTTTTACAATTTGCTCTCGCCTCGCTGGTGGCGGCAGGCTGGAATTAGGGCTACTGGGGCTGTTGAGAGGAGCGCAGCACGACCCCTCGTCAGCCCAGGTTTGCGCGGACGGCCGCCGTGTCAGCGCGCTCCAATGGCCGCGGGTGCGAAGCCGGAGCCTTCCTGCCCGCAGCACCGCAGCTGGACAGAGCGGTGCCGCCCAGCTGCGCACGCAGCCCAGGTCAGCATGAACAGAGTAAGGGCAACTTCATTTACAGAAGCATAATGGAAAAAAAAATAATAAGACGATTTAAGTTACACAGTGGTATGTGATGCTGAAAACAATGTGATCGTCTGTTGTGTGCGTGATGATCTTAGCATTCAGGTTGACAAGGTAACAGTTTGTGGAAGGAAATGAGCAGGGGAAAAAGGGAAAGGTGAACACGCACACAGAGCAGGGAGTGGCAGGACAAACAGGAGGACGGGGTTGACATAATGAAACAATGGGCACATTACACATCCACTGTTCTCTAAGGTTATAAAAAGAAGACTGATTAGCTGAAAAAGGTTCCTGAGGTGTAAGATTTTTTGGGAGGAGTCCTGGGTCTCACTCCAGCACACAGGGGCAGCTGGGTGGAGAGAAAATGGAAAGAATGCATCTAATTCATTCATTCTTTTATTGACAGGAAAGTGAGAAAGCTGTCACTTTGCAAAGAGTCTTAAAAGATCTCTGAACTAAAGGTTAGAATTTCAACATGTTATCAGCAAATTAAATCCTCAAGCAAGTATATCTATCTTGCTCAGAGCAGCATTTTTGGTCGAATTCTTAATCTACTTCCAGTTTGAACAGTCCTAGAGCACAACTGGCTGCTTATGTTAACATATAACATCCTCCTTGCCTGCAGAATATGCACAAGTAAAACAGCACACAATTTTTACTACGTACAAGAGTGCCTCTTAATTTCAGCAGTACATAATATACTGCCAGGCCCTCTGTCATTTAGAAAACAGGAGGAGGATTAGCATTAAAAAGTGGTTTGTCCAGAATCATTCAATAAATCAGCAAGAGATAATTGGAAACATCCTGACCTCTTAACATCCAAACAATGCAGCGTTTTCCCCATCCATCAGCTACCTGATCTTCAGAAGCTAATGCTTTTCATTTTCAGTTCAAAATATAAGGTCCCAGCAGCTCAAGATCTCTCAGTTTTAGTGCAAGAGGTGTTCAGTAACACTCATACAGGTAACTAAAGTTCCACTCTACTTACTTACCCAAAAAGTAAGTTTCAAACTTGCATCACGAAGAATCTTCAATTTGAGAAGATTTCTGTCCACTCCAATTAATAACTGCTGACAATCTGCTTTAATTTGACATTTTCTTGTTATTTACAATCGCACAAGACAAATCTTCTTCCATCTCATGGTAAACAAAGGATGCATAGGAATCCCAACCATCACTCTAATAAACAGCAGAATTAAATTCAAGAGCATTCTGTGAAGACTGGAAAATGACAACATTTTGAAGATAAGTCACTTTTCTCATTTTACTCTTTTATAATTTGTTTCCTTTATTATCTAAAAATGATACCAATGAAAAATACTGTTCTCTCAGTATTGTAAAACACAATGCACACGTTGGAAGATTCAGGCTAAAGAATAACTAAAGCATTCCAATACTGAAGTTATAGTTTTGCTAAAATTTTTAAATTCTGAACATAGAATTTTAAATTTCAATAGCTAAATGAAACTATTGAGAAGTTAATGGGGAAACAACAGTAGGCAACATGGTTCTGACAAGGGGATGCTATTTGTGTGAAGAAGTGACATACAGCTGCATGTCAGGTGGCAAAGGATGGCAAGGAAATGTGTATAACCAAAGAATCCAGTAAATCCAATGCTGATGTTGGACACAACAGACCTTAAGAATTGAGCAGAAGGGTTTGCATTCTTTGTCACATCATGTCTCCAGGCTTAAAGTAGCAGACAGACTCCTAGACAACGTAAGTCAACTCAGTATGTCAGGTCCTTTATTAAGCACCTTTATTGCCATTTTATTCTGTCAGTACTTGGCAGTGATAACAGATATTTAACATTAATCCCCAGTACATGCCACTGATACAATTTCTTAAGTTACTTTGCATTGGAAATGTAGCTGTCAAGTGGCCAATTCATCTGCTAAACATTAGATAGTATCTTAAATAAAAAGTGCAATGGTTCGCTGTGAATTCAATGAACTTTTACAGGACAGAACCTCAGAAGACAGTAAATTAGACAAAGACAGAAAAGGATATCAAATTATTCAAGACGAACAGCAACTACTTTCAGTTTCATGATAGAATCACATGGACAGCTCAAAATTTGCAGGGAAGACAAGGTTGAAAGCAGCACAGTAGGAGGCAAAAGTATGTCCAAGATGTGAACTTGGTAGAGGATTTGAAAAGAAAAAAAAACAGCCCACAGATGTTTGCAAATAACCTCAAGTATGTGTATGAATCTGATGAAATTAATGAAAATATTACATTGTCTAATCTAACTGATGCATCATTAAAAAGATAACCAGAAAAAAAATATTTTGGGCCACTTAGATGAGTACATTAGTATTGATCACTGCTGTAACAGAAATATCAAGACATAAAAGGCTGCTCGAACTGCTGACCAAGCAGTCTACATCCACATCTTGACATGAAGATGTGATGCACCACACTGAGAAGAATACTCTGGGTCAACTAAAGATTTACCAAGCCAAGAAAACGTGCTTTACATTGAGAGCACATGATATGCTGACATATCTTCACAAAGGAATACTAAGGATGTAACATTTGAGCATTGCAAACCTTGTGCAGGCAAAAATCCTGAGGCAGATGTAGCATGAATTCTCATTGAAACTGCCATGGCTCCTAACGAAGCAAGTGACAAATGGGATTAATATGCATTTCAGCTAACTCCACCATTCAAGCAGCTTGTTTCTTGGAAAATTAACCACCTCCCATCAGACTACAAACAGAGCACCTTCCAATGTTCACATTACATTTGCATGTTACTTTACAGCTCCGCACCCTTTTGAAAAAATAGGCAAACAGTTCACACTTCTGTACTTAAACTTTATTTCTTCATAATTACAGGCTATTGTTAGAATTTTTAAACAAAAGGGAAGTCTATAAATAGAAGCTAATCCCACCTGAACAAGTTTCTTTTTTTAAAAAAAGTTAAAACTTCATAAGTAATGCCATTTAGCTCACAGCAGTGGTTTGTTGGTAGTCTGAGTAAAAGTACTATAGTCAGAGTCAGTAACATGAAATGTAACATCAAATGACTCAAAACTTTTAAATTCCATAAAGGAAAGCAAGAATATATATATAATATATACATAATAATATTGTGTTGGTCCACTGAGTATACATTTTTTAACAAAAGATAAGAAACTATGTAATCCAGTTAAGCATGATTTGCAAGATTAGTGTACACTCATTACAAAGATGTATAGATAAGTTTTAACTATTTAATCCTTGCAAAAATTTAAGTTACCTTTTTTGAGCAGGTGTTTAAATGCTCATTTCCCAGTGCAAAAGAAAAAACATCCCAGTCCGGTTACCCATTTTCCTGAAAAACTGAAAATATTAAATTCTTTCAACAGCAGCATTGGCAGATAATAGGAAGAGGTTAAATGTATTGAAGCATGGCTGAGTTCAACTCCTCCTCCCAGTGCTGTGTGTTGAAACATTTCCATTTCCTCAACAAAAACACCACAAGTTAAAAGTGCAAGAAAGAAATAAAAATCTCTTGATGCTTATGCTGCTGCCATCCACTTTTCTTAGATAGGGCAAAAGATTATTTTTGGAATTATTTTAATTAAACCAATTCTCCAGAATGGAGTTCTTTCAAAGTGAACAATAAGTTACCTTTATTAAGTTATTCTCATTAAAATCATATCAATCCCACTCAGTGACCATAAAAAAAATAATTCAGTTTAAGGTGCAACTATCTGTTGGCATTCAATAAATTACACATACAGGAAAAAAGCAACCTTTAAAAAAAATGAAAAAAAATCAGACAACATTTTCTTTCTATTCTCAATCTCATTTTCAACTTACTAACTTGCCAGTTAAAGGGCAAGTAATTTTGCCAATTACTTATCTGCATATTTCACAGGCAAAACTGGCTCAAACAGCAGCGGGGCCTTGTTATTTGACAGTCATCTTGGCCAACAGCAAATGCACACGAATCTTCCATTTAATTGCTTTATAAAACAAAGTAACTGGTCTTAAAACCTATGCCCATGCAAGAAAAGCATTAAAGGTTTCTGTAAGACACACTCTTTTTGCCTTAGACTCCATGAAGATTGTTATTTCAAATCCAAACAGAATCTTCAATGAAGAGAAAAAAAAATCTATACGCATACATATAAAATAAAGCACTCCACAAGTCTGGCATTACTAAAATCTTTCTAGAAGGATAAGAGGTTTCCAATGACTAACTGCTTGATGGGAGACAATCAGCCATGGCAGAATAATTGCTGTGTTCACTTTATGCTCAATTACCAACTGCTGACAGATTACAGTCAAACTAATGTCTCATTTTCTGCATTTTCAACTGATTTGCTTACATCTGGGAAAAGTTCCTTATTTTCCTGAAAACTTGAGAGAAATTGAATGCTAGAATTAAGTTATTCAAACAATAAAAATAACCAAAAGGATTGAATTTAGCAGGAACACACCACTTTCAAAAGTTTAAATCCTTTCTTAATTTTTCTGTATATATGTAATCTTTTGATTAACATTTAAATAGGTTAGGTATTCAGGAAAAGGGACAAAACAGTTGACATATGACAACATCTTATTCTAAAATTCATGCTTCTGAGATTTCAGATTTACTGAGTGCAATAGCCAGTTCCAAGTCTTCTTGCTCTTGCTGTTTTAGTCTTGCCAATCTTTCTTTCTCTTCTCTCTCACTTTCCCTCTTAGCCCATTCAATCATGTCTTCCTCAGTAGAATACTGCATTTTTAAAAGACAAAATAATCAGATTAATAATGCAATAACTAATCCTGTTCTTGGTTTAAGTGCGTTTCAGTAAAACATTTGACATTCTACAGTTTTTGAACATTACTTGCTTTCCATTGTCAGTAAACTATTACTATTAGCTTAGTTCAAGGTTTAACTATTAAGAACTGCACTGAAGCCAACCTATTGCTCTATTTTTCATTTAATACACCGTATTTCAAAATTCAGTACTAAGTTTTGATAAAAGGTTACAGGAGCAGCAAGTGTTATACTTTAAAATCAAACTATTTTTGAATAACAAACCAGTCTATAAAAAATTTGAATGAATGATGAGAACATACAGCACGTACACCCATATCCAGCATGACAGGACATCCTAATTAATTGTACTTTCATTAGAGATGCCTTTTCCAGATGACAATGACTACGAAAATTAGCTGTAGAATGACTTTAATTGTGCAGATGAAAAACACTTAGGTAAAAAGCAGCAGAATGTTAAGGTAACAGTTAGAAGCCTAGTGATAATACAGAGAAAGATAAGTGTGATAAGTGGAGAAGTGGAGAAGAAAAAGAACAGATCCTTTCAGTGTACTTCAATATTAACAGAATATGAACTGAACTGCTGTGATACAATGACTAAGTCAGAAAACATGGTATTATTTTCAATACAAAAGATAATAGCAAAATTTGTTTCTATTCAGCATGCAGAAAAGCTAAGAATTAGGTGAAGCCCATGTGTTCATGAATGTCCCAGTGTTAAGTCTTAAAGGTTTATCACAGTGTACTCTAGTTAGATCCTGCTTTGAGCTAGTATTTAAAAGTAGAAAAGATTGTGTTTTCTCCATACTTCACTTGTTACTTTTTCAGTAGTAACAGCTGGAAAAGAATGCTTTTTCCTTTATAAAAATAATTAACTTTTGCTTCCCCCTCCACATCTCACATTCTGTCCTCCAAACTAGCTTCTCAGACCATCTAACCAGTAAAAGCAATCAGCAGCGTTACCGTCATGCTAGAGACACACCAACCAGTGCAAGTCAGTTCTGAAAACCTGTCAACCCTCCATTTGCTTCAATCAAGCAAATGGTTTATCACCCCCCACCAAAAAGAAAAAAGCAGTATGATCACGTTACTGTGAATGCAAATTGCATTTCACAAATATCAAGATGGAAAGTGAAACGTTGCCTTCTAAAACTCCTCTTTGCAAAAGCTCAAAAATAAAATAAAAATAATATATGTAGGCATGCACAAACCTTTAGATTTGCTTCTACTGCTTGGACACCACGACTTCTATGAAATGGATTCTGGTTACAAAGAGACACTACTTTTCACTGCATCATACATAAATCTAGATTTTACTAGCCATTCCAAGCTCACCACATTACATTTCAATAACACACACTATTATGAAGCTGTTTATCACTATTTCAGTCATATATTTCACTATTATAACTAAACAGTGACAGGAAGATTAAAATCATGTCTTTCGTTGTATTTTTAATTAGATAATTAAATGTGAAATATATATAGGTATAAAAGCACATCTGCTGTGTGCTTTGAATGAATAATACCTAGAACAAATATATAAAATGTCCTACTTCTAAAAGGAGGCCTCCATGAAAAAAGTATTACAAACTCACAAAAGCAATGCAACGTAAACATTAACTTCATCATTTATTGCATTGTTTTATTTTAGGGCAGCCTCAGCTGTAAACTAACTGTAACTATTGTTTTAACTGGAAGCGAGATCCCATGTGCAAAAGGGATGTGTGTTAATATTTTAAATTAGACTGAAGATGTCAGTGTGAATGATTCAAAGCTGACAGTATACTGAAACAAATGTAAAAAGTGTTTACTCACAGTACTGAAGTTTGCAAAATTGTTGGGGTCAGCCTCTTTACCGATGCTGGTGGGAGCAAATGGATCACAGAATAGATCTGCTTCTTGTTCTTTGGGAATTTCTGGGGTGGGAAAAGGCTGAAATGGATCGCTCGGTTTAAAGGAATCTGAAGAGTCTATTTGATTGATAGGTCTTTTCCCTTAGATTAAAATGAATTTAAAATGAATTTAAGATAGCAGGTAATAACATGCCAAAAATAGTATTAATAAAAAAACAAAAACAAATTCAAAAGCTTTGTGGAATGCAACCTCTTCTTGATAAATTAGTGGAGTTATAATGACTTCAGAGGAAGGGTTGCCAGTTTAAAAAATGAGGGCATGGCCCAATATTAAATTGTAAAGTGTAATCAGATGAAAAGGAACACATGTACGTTAATGATTCAAGAGCATAATTATATTCTGATGTAGCAGTATTTTGGGAAGAGAATTCCTAAGTCTTTAGTCCCTATTCTATCAACACAGTAATTTCTTCTACTTATCAATTATCCATGATAAAAAAAAAAAAGCCTTACTGGAATTATTATTTGTCTGGATCAAAGTAACAGAATTTGATTTACGGAACAGAAACGTAAGTCTTCAAAAACAACAAGGAAAAGCATCCTCTCACTGTGCTAACACACGCCATTTCACAGAAAAATGAAGACAATTAAGCCATATAACAAACACTGGAACAAACAGGCTTAACTATTTTGTTAATCCTTGCCTAAGTAGTTGTAGATCAAACAGAAGCAGACATGAGCCCCCACCTGTTCTTTTTTCAGCTTAACCCCAGTCAGCTTTCAACACCTCTGAGGACATTAACCCAAATCCTTCCAAGAACAGTTGAGCTAAATTTCATCCCACCATTCTCTCCATATGTTATGATTTATAGTAAAGGTTTCATTACAGTTTCTTGAATTCACCTAGCAAATTCAGTAAGTGGTTTGACCATTACAGTGGTCGTATGCTTCTGTTTTTCACAGACCAAAAGAGATTCTAATTCAGCAATGTCTTAGAGGCTTCTAGGAATGCTCCCCTAGGGAATACATGATTTATTTAGACAATTCTCAGATAACCTTCCCGTGATAGTCCTCCCTCACTGATCATGTTCTATCACTGGCAAACAAGGCATGGTTTTTATTTTCCTGAATACTGTGGGAGAAGCAGCTTCAAATGACATCTAGAAAAAGAATCCTTTTACAGAGGAAGGATTAATAGTTGTAAGAATATTAAGTATACGTTGCCAAACCCACCCAAAAATCATGAAATAGTAGCACACATCAGTGTCTGGAAAGGCAGTGGATGTCAGAAGCAAGCAAGCAGCCCTTCCACACACTTTCCATTATCAAGGTTTAAAAGGACAGGCACTTCCTCAAAAAAACATTCCTTTGTTTTGAATGAGACCAAGAGAGTCATTAAGAACAAATACACTTAAATATCTCAATTTATGATTCATGATGGGCAAAGAATTTATTGGGAATGGTTATCATGATAACCACAGGAACAGGGTACTTTTTTTCTAGCCCTCCATTAATAGCAGTACTGTTTTTCTGCCACTAGGTGCCTGCATTCTAAAAGTGAGTCTGACACCACCTTGTAGCCACTCCTAGATAACGAAGTCCAAAATACCACACACACTCCTTTAAGGGCCTCCATAGAAGGAAACACTATCAAACATTCAAATTAACACCACTTATCATGTCAACTGCTTTTATGTTATGTTATTTGCAATGAAACAGGCTACTTGCAAGGCATGAAACAGATCTCCTCACTTCAGCATTACAATTAAGCACTTGAGTTTAAACTTTTAGTATTACTTTTTCTGTGTTGTCCTCTTTCGAGGGGAAAAGTGAGCATTTACTCAAGTTTCATGGTATAGTTTTCCACAACACTGTAAAATTCAATCATATAGTGTAGTAGTGAAAGTGATGCAGTAAAAGCTTTTGAAGAGAATGAAATGAAGGATGAAAAGTTAAATGAATAGTAGTAATGTAATGTATTTTCCAATCTATGAAAAACAAAAAAGATTGAAAGTACAGATTCTGTTGTAACATAAAGAAGGTTTGGTTAACTTTCATGACAATCATACTACTTTCTGGAGAAGATTGATGTGTATCATGGAGCAAACCAGAGGATTCAGCAATGGCTGAACAGAGAACAGCACAGGAAACCTGGGTTTATTGTTATTGCATTGGCTAGGTTCACACTACAAACCTCTGGCAAGGCAACCTGGAAAAATTTAATCTGAACATCTGAGGCAGTCACCTTAACTCTAGTTTAATTTATTTTACGCCGGCCACATACACACTGAATTGTTTTAATATTTATTTAAAGTTGGCATTAAAACTGGAAGTTCTGCAATAGGTAGAACACAATGGCTTCTCACTTCAAACAATACTCACAGCCTATTACAACAGCAACTGTTTAATTTGTAGCCATTTGTGTTCTTGCACAATTAACTCTATATTGTCCCATTTTTAAAAATCCTTTTCCCCTTTCCCTAAAAAAGAAACAAAAAACAGAACTCAGAAAAAACAGCAAGCTATGCTGCCACAAATGTCAAGCAAAGTTTAACTCTGAGAAAAAAAAAAGATCAGGAACAGACTTGTTTTACATCTTCTCACTCATTCACTGTTAATCCAGCATACTTCACCATCCCATTATAATTATTGCCCTACCACCAATGTTACAGAAGCTAATAAGCATCTCACATCAGCTCTTACCAGGAGGTGGCGGACAGGGCCTTGTGGGAGTTCCAGTTTTAGGGGGCAATGCAGGAGGAACGTCCTCATTTTTGGCTGGTGGCTCTTCAAATGAGTTTTTAGTTATGACCACATTTTTGACAGAGCCTGATGTGGAAGAGCCAAAGGGATCCTCATTGTTGGCCTTTGAGAAAGAAAGAAAACAGCAACATACACACTTTCAGTGCAATTGCACCAATACTTTCCATCTTTAGAAATGAAAGTTTGTTTTTAAAACTCATAATCCAGGAAGAATAAAAGCAAAAGCAAACATTGATGAAAATTATAGAAAAATCAGGAACGGTTAGTGTGTGTACAGCAATGAGAAGTTGAGTGCAGCTATATACATTCAAAGCCATTTGAAATACAGAGAAAATACAAAGCTTACTTTGTGTTCTTCACAGTGGAATTGTAAGACAATTTACTGTAAAAGACCTCTATGTCAAGAAAGTTAATCATTGTAAATTTTTATTATTGGCAAAACTAATGATAAAAAAACTGTAACAAATAAGAACACAGTAAGTCACTGCAGAGTTTCATGCATTTTCTATGAGTGATACTAATTTCACATTACCTTTGACAGCGTGCTGAAGTCAGCAAAGCCACTTCCAAAGGACTCATTTCCAAACAGAGAGGCAAAGGGGTCTGTAGCTAAATACACAAAAATCAAGCAAATGAAATATGAAACACTGAAAGATCCTGCAACAAAGCAGCTGTTACATCTATTGAAGCATAGACTACTTCCATGTGAAATACATAATTAGGTGGGCACTCTCATTATTTAAGGAGTTTTTACAAAAAACCTAAATATTAACAACTGATTAACAATAATAATTCTCCTGAAAAGGTTCTCTTGATATATCTGTGTACAATCAGGTATTTTTTGTGTGTACAGCTACAAATACATGATGACTATGAATACAAATGAGCTCCCTTCCAACAGTAAGCTCACATCTGGAATAAAGTGTCTTCAAACCTTGTATGAACTCAACCTGTAATAGCAATAGTAATCTTCAACTCTTGTATGCCACAAAGCATGTAAAAACTGCTGTTCTGTTGCAAAGTAAGAAGCATACTATGTTTACCAATAATCCCTTCTTCTGCCTCTAAAAACAGTTTTGAGTTTCGTTTTCGTTTTTTTTTTTTTAACTGCTTACTGCAAAATATCACAAAGATTCATCATGCCTTTGATTCATGTGCTTCCTGGTGCAACTTGGCAGTAGAGTGGACTAGACTCCTCCCAAAAACATCTTTACCCTCAGATAAGAGAGGGACACAGCAATACAAACAGAAACCTTGATCAAACAGTTATTCTATCTTAGATTCTCTTACATAGTACATAACTATCTTGTATTTTACTTTGAAAGCAACATGAAATGTCCTAAAAGCAACCCTAATGGGAAGTAGTAGAAACCACTCAATTAGCCCAAACACTTAGATCACCAGTTTTAGGTGAAGAGGAACATTTTTGCAAAATCAGTTTTTGGTGATGCATGCTAAGGATAATGACTTCTTTGTTTATGTTAAATAAAAACACTCTCTACAAAATTGTTCCTAATGTCAAATGTTAATTTGGAAAAGTCCTTCAAATGCTCCCATTACAAATTCAGTCAAGACTAGGAATAAAAACAAGAAAAAGTTTCATGTGCACAGTCTCTTTTTACCTAAATCATCTGACGTAGTAACAGTTGTTCCACCAGGAGCAAAAGGATCATTTTTCTTCGGTATCTCTGTCTAAAATAAAAGAATTACTTTAGTGGGAAATTTGTTTTTCAGCTTGATGAATTCACATTCTAAGAATACAATCACAATTTAAGTTCAGAAGGTTTAAGATAATGTTGGTCTAGCATCTTTATACCAGGCATCAAAATTAAAAAAAAATAAAAGACATTCTTTGTGAAGATATTGCTGCACTGATAACAAAGGTGCAGTAAAGCATTTCTGACAAATGCATAACTTTAGAAATGCAGATCACACAAGGATCAGCTGCTACAGACTGTGCATCCCACGCCTCCACACTTCTGTTACTGTCAGTCAACGAATTGGAAGTATTAGAATATTGTGATTTGAAGGATAGTGTGCAAAGTACTGAAGATTATAGAAAACCAATTTTTAAGGCTGGAGGTCTGGTAATATGACCTCAGCATCTGCATAACACGTGTATCATACAGAAGGAAAAGAACACCCCTGTAAGGTGGAGTAATTCCTCACTATCTCATTTTTGCAGGTTCACATCTGGCACACTCCACAGCCACTTAACTTGCTTCCTATGTGCATTAATAGTCCACTTGTATTTTTAATACATAAATGCAGATTTTATACACACACAAAACTAGAACTGAGGTATGAATTTGCACCATTGAAGAGAGGATATTGCAGAAAGACTATGACAAACTTAACACAATTTCAGCTTCTCAGAATAAGTGTCTATCAGCCTCAATATTACCTTATTTTCATTAAAATTACATCCTACAAGGCTTCATGTCCATCTTATTGTAAGCTGGTGATTGATCATTAACTGCTCAGTTATAATATGAACAGCTAGAAGTTAGGCCTAGATATATTTGAAAGAATATGCCATTCAGTAACAATTTCCACATTATGACTAGGTTTCAGTGACAAATTTAAAAAGACAATGAAAAACAAACACCACATCTGTAAAACAGCTTGGGTTTTTAGAAAAACTTGCTATCACATCAGACTTTAAATAAGATAAAACATACTTATTGATCCTATAAGCTTTGGAGGGAAAAAAAGTGAAGTGTTTCAACAGAACCTGGTGAGATTAATAAATTTGAAAGAAAACAAAGATTAAGTTCCACCAGCTATTAATAGAGCTTAACTCATTAGTCCCAAAACATTCTAATTTGTGGAGCTGCACACTGAAATATTTTAAAAATGTTTTTATTTCTATTTTCTGTATGACTATTTCTAGAATGCAACAGAAAGAGACATGAGAGCCATGTAGTAAGAAATACATTTTATCTAAATGATTTCTGAATTTCCGCATTTTAAGGTAGATCCAAATGCACCAGATGGTTAATTTTGTCCAAATTATATACAGCAGTAAAAAATACACTATCAGCTTACTGTGGTGTTATTACTGTTGCTTGCTGCACTAAATGGATCAGTGCTTGCAGTCACAAAAGGATCAGTGGAGGACTGTTTGAAAAAACAGTCAGCTGCAAAAGGATCTGAGCCTTTGAAGGGATCACCACCAAAGGGATCTAAAAAAAAAAACACACAAACATCTCATTAAGAATTCTACTTGCTTTATTTAACTTAGCGTCTTCAAAATGAAACGTTATATTGCTTCTTTCATTCTGCAGGAAGGTGACACATTTACGACAGATTTGATGCTTCAAAAATCCTTGATCTGTGAATAATCTGAATTCCATGGTTCAAACATTAGACATACCAACATTTTCTGCACACAACAAAAACTATTGTGCCACTAGTTCAGCAGAACCATGTAAAGACATTCTTTAACTCAGCCCCCTTACAAAGAAGCATTTCTGTGAAAACTAATGTTTTTCAGAACTCTCATACTTTCTTCTCCTTCACTCCCCAAACATAACTGATGTTTCCTTATTTGACAATGGGTGCACCATGCTGTTTTGCTGTAGCTTCCTACTGCCCATTTTCTTTTTGCCACTGGTAACACTGTTCAGGACTGAGCAAGTAATGCAATGGCACTGCTTAAACAGCCAGTCTCAACAGATCTTCCCATCTTTTTCAATATTTGTGCTACAGAAAGTTGCTGAATTAAGAGCCTTTAAAAGTACAGTCCAACTTCTCTGCAAACAAAACATCTTTTGAGTTTGGGGCCTTCCGTTTACCACCTCCATATATTTAAATCTCCACTAAGAATACTTTCAAAAGCAAGAGGAAAATTCCTAGGGAACAGGCTTCTCTGAAAAGTTTTAACACAAGTGGGCAGCTGCTACTGCTATATATCCATCCTACAGTGACTTTTTAAGTCATTACCATCTTTTTCACACTGTAAGTGGTGATACTCTTCCCCCCATGTACTGTTCTATTAGGAATCATTTTCAAAAAAAAAAAAAAAAGAAAAAAGAAAGAAAAAGAAAAGAAGAAAGATTAGAAGTTACAAAGTTGCTCACCAATTTTCCCAAAAGGGTCATCTTTGAAGGGATCACCTGTTTAAAGGAAAAAGAGACTTGTAGATTTTAAATCATAAAGCTTGTGTTCTGAGTTGAAGTCTCTTTGATACAAATAAGTTTCTAAAGCTAGAATTTCCCTCACTCAGAGGAACAGTTTCATTATTTTCAGTGGAACAAGAGCTGATAACACAAAGCAAATATTCATCACATAATTTATTACCAGCATGAAGCAAACAACAACAGCCATCTGAAAAATGCATCTCTGTTGGCTGCTCTCAGTAAAGATGCACATTGTGCAGTATTTACACCACAGTAATACAGGCTAATTACTGATGAAAACTTAGTTCCACTTTTAATAATCCTCACAGACATGAGGAATAGCAGCCATCAAGTGTTCATTTCTACACTGGATGCAAGTATATGCACCAGTATACTCCCTCATTTCACAGAGTCTTACAGCTCTAGATATCTACCTCTAAACAAACTGAGCACACAAAATCCAGAAGGTTGATTGATCGACATATCTTTCTCCTCTGAAAGGAAGGCTGTTATACCCCATAAGCAGGACTACTCCAACATAAACAAAAAAAGAAACAATATGTACATAAAATCATTGAGGTTTTTAAATATTTTTAAGTGAAAAAAATGAACTAAAGCTTAAATCTGCATTGGCAATCTTTTAGAAGCCAAGTGATGCAAAATAAATTTAGCTGCATACATCTGTTTCAACAGTTAATCCAAATTAACTCTTCCCATACTCCAAGTGTCTCTATCCAGACAGATCACTCCTCCCAACATTATAAAAAAAATGGAGCAACAGAATTCTTAAGTGGCAAGTTCTTAAAATAAAGCATAGCACTTCCACAAGATGAACAGATGGTACAGTTCCACATTATCTTTTTTTGAGTGCCTAACATGCCATAAGTAGGCCACAGCCATTCACTTTCAGCCACCCATGTGCTCCCTACACCACAGCTCACTGAACCCTCAGATGATCTGTTTGTGGCTTTGTGCTGCAAATTAGATCAGTGACACCACATATATCACAAGTATGCCCACACCTTTAATACCAAAATGAGACCTCCAGAAAAAAAAAAAAAAGAAAAAGAAGAAGGAGGCACTCAGAACAAAAAAACACAGGTAAGAGACACACCCTGGAACTCTCATTTGTAATTTTGTAATGCTATTGGCTCTTGTCACTCAAGTACTTTCACATTTATTCCATAAAGACTGGAAGTTTAATCTGTGTTCATACAAAACACATTTCTGCAAATCTGCACTTAGAGAGAAGAGTGTACTTACTGCCAACAAAAGGGTCAGACTGGAAGAACTCTAAGCTTGTTTCAGAAACTATATCAGGCAACGGATGAGATTCAGCATCAAATGGATCCTCCTGAAAAACATGAAAGAAGCAAATAAAGGCAAGAAGTTTGAGACACTTATCTCATACTCTTACCATTTATTAACTTCTTAAAGCTGAAATAAGCTTGAATTCATCAGAATTCACAGGGAGCAACAGTAAAAAATCAACCTGCTATATAAGATGAAAGCATTTGTGACATCATGCCTTATTTATTTTTATTTACATTCAATTCCTCCCTTAAATTTGAACAAACTCACTTTTCTCGTAACAGCTGCAGATGGAGTCTCTTTGTCTTCTTCTGCAGCAGCTGTTTCAGGACTATTTCTTGTCTATGTAAGGATAAAAGCAATTCAGTGTAAGTAAACAGAACACTATACTACTTACTCCATTTTAAGTATCAAACTGTTGTAAGAATATACTAAAGGATACCTCAAGAGGTTCATACTTAGAAAACATTGAAATGTTTGATAAATTGAGACACAAAACCAGGCATTTAAAAAGCAAGACAGCTTTTAGATTTTTGTACTATTCCTCATTCTATTTCTGTTGCACCAATTGGAAACAGCTGCTCTTCTTTAACATTAATTTTACCCTTCAATTTATGACATTAAGCTTTGGAAACAAATGCACAAAAAGAATCCTGTTGCCTCTTCTTCTGCTTATCAACTTCCAGATCTCTGGAATACTCCCTCAGAATAACATCCTGAAAGTTCACTTTGAAAATGTTTAAAAACAAAATACAATCAATCTTAATACATTCTTAATTTATTCCAACTTCACAGCTGCATTGCATCATGATCAGGGAGGCAAAACATTTTACTCACTGGGGATACATTGTTTATTTGTTCATCTTCAGCTATGCTTTCCCTTTCAGCATTCTCATTAAGGTTCGCAGTTTCACTGCTGCTGTTGCTAAGACTAGAATGATCCGCTGTTCCGTTAACAAGTACAGTCTGTGGCTGAGAGTGCCAACTAAATTGGTTGCTTTCCAGTTCTTTCAGCTCAAGAAGTTTTGTCTGCACCTGTAAACAGAAATAATGGACATGTATCAGTAGAGTAGCACATGGAAACTCGAATACAACTCTCCCTTCTTAACTGTGAGATGGAGGGTAATTCTTATACTCCAAAATCAAGTATAATAAACTATAAAATTTCACAGAAAAGTACAAATCCGAGCCAGAAGAGATATGGTAGAAGACCTGAGAACCTTCTGTGCCAAGGAAGCAGGCTATATCACTGGTGATCACTGGCAGTATCAAAGACTTGTTTCATTGCCACTCAAGCACATAAGACTTGCAAAGCCTTTGGCTTTGTTTGTGTGTGGGTTTTTGATTTTTGTTTTTGTTTTGTTTATTCCCTTTTACATTACTCAGTTGTAATTGCCTTAAGCTCCACAAACGTAAAAGGCGACTTAATCAGAAGTCCAAGAAAAAAATTACAAATTATCTTCCTCCACACAACTTTTGAAGTCTAGGAAAATATATTTTGGATTTTCTAAGTAGATAATTACAGCCACATGATTATTTCACCAATAAACGCAAGAAATGACAAAAAGGTATGCAAGCTAACTCTTCACTAAGTAACAGATTGTTGACTGGACCTACAAAGTATAGTTCTGTTCTTAAAAAACAATGCAGCAATCTCTCTGCTTCTCTGTACCCAGTCCCAATACTCTTACATTCACCTTCTTCCTTCAAGAATACACTAAATAAATGTTTTAAGAAATTCTATATCAATGTCACATCAATTTAAGAACAGTGAGATCATGGCTCAGGTTGTGGCTGAGGAAGAAAACTTGGCTAACTATTGGACATCAGGATTTTAAAGAGGCATTATTCATTAGTCATTCATTACATTAAAGCAAATTATTTATCAATTGTAATGAATTCCCTCTTATTAACAATACTTGGAAAAACAGAAATAAATACTTAGAGCAACGCGAGTCAGTTCATAAGAATTTTAACTACTATACACATCTTCTATGCAAGCAACGGAACGCATAGAAACTGTGAAAAGACAAAAAACATTTTCCCCTCATGAAAAATCACACCAAAGCCTCTCAGCTAAAACAGCTTTTTTTGTTTTGGTTTGGTTTGTTTTTTTTTTTTTGTTTTGTTTTGCTTTTTAAAAAAAAATTATTGTTTTTCCTCTTTTTTCCCTTCCCCTTTCACAACGCCTTACCGAATTGATTTCCTGTTGTGAATCTTGCAGATGTTGCTGAAGAGGTCCCAGCTGTGCTTTCCCAGACTCTATGCAATGCTCAAGCTCTGCAGTTTCTTGCTGCAGACGACTCAGCTCCTCTTGAGCTTTGGTCAGTTCATCTTCATATGCTGAAATCTTTGACTCCTGGCTTGTTATTTCAGCTTTCAGCATGGCAATCTAAAGCATAAACAAGGATTCCAAAGTCAAATTAGGAAAACAACAACAACAAACAACAACACACCAAAAATACCCCCACATCTCCAAATATATCCAGCAAAGACTAAAGATTTATGACCAGAAAATTTATGAGCAGCTATTGCAGAGACTTCAGATCATACTCCAACAGAAGATTAATCTGCTATTTGTCCCAATGAGATCAAGCTGTTTTCCTGACCAATACAGATATTGCTAATATTAAAGATATGGGAGAAAAAAAAAAAAAAAACTGAAATTTTACATTAGAAAAAAAAATCTGTAACTTTTTTTTTTTCTTTTTTTTTAATCCCAAGAAATCAGTCCTGGTAATTAGTGTTTCTAGTGACATTCACATTGTGTTACGCATTTGTGTCATTTGTTTGTACACAACTTTACACGTGTGCAAGCATATCTTACTGCATTTGTTGGCACACTGAAACATAAAGAGGTCAGTGAAATAAGTGATGCCTCCTATTCTCTGTTGGTCACAAAATCCTGCAACTCAGGCTGTTTGATCTTAAATTTTTTTCCCCTTTCCCAGCCACCACAACACACTGCAAGCATGCATTATTCAAAATGCAGCATTTCTTCTTAAGGGCTGAAGCCATTAGACCTTACCAAGTGGGCCTCCTCTGCACATTTCTGCCTGATGTCATTAAGTTGCTCTTCCAACTTGGCCTTCTGCTCATCAAGATCGTTAAGGATTTCCTGAGCTTCCTGTTTCTGAGCTTGCAGCTTCTGCAGATTGCTGCTCTCCCGTTTTACTTCATCTTGTAGATCCTGTAATAAAAGATTTGCTTTGCCTTTGTTCACTGCTCCCTCTGACCATTAAATTTCCTGGTATAAATTGTGGTAATGATCAGTCAGATTTCAGAATATTAATATGTTATCTTTCAAAGGCTAACATGTACTGTGCATCACACAAGTAAGGGTTCTCAAGTTTTAATTCAAAGAAAACAACAATTAGGTTATTTGCTTTTTCTTTTTTTTCATTAAAAAAAAGCCTTATTGAAATATTGAAGCTCATACTGCCAAACAGAGATCAGAACTATTTAATCAGTGGGAGGTAGGCTTCCCTTCTGAATCCAGAAGTCATCCTTGCTTTGGCTGCTACATTCTCTCTTCTGTATTTTAGCAATATGTTTTATTGAGTTCCTTAGTAACAGAAATTCTTTATTCTGTTCCTTTCCCCTCAGAAACACTCACCCAAAAATACAAAGGTGAAGCAAGGTGAAGAACAAAATCAGTGCCTTATTAACCCAAATGCACCTTTAAGATTTTCCCCACCTCCAATTTTTGCTGAAATTACCCCAACTCTTTTTTTTTCCTGATAAGAAATGCATGTTCCATATATGAAAACATGGCATGCTTTGTTATAGGGAACAGCTGTAAATAAAATATAAGATACAGAAAGTAGTATCATATGATAATTAGTTCATTTCTGAGCAAAAACAATGGTTATACTTCAAACTGCAGAGATAACAGTGGAAAAAAATCAAGACAAGAATTTAGCAGGAACTGTCAAAGTCAAGAGGAAGAAGTAATACAGAGAGATCAAAAAAGGATCATTACAGAAGTATTAGATGAGAGAAGAAGATTGCAGTCTTTCTAAAAAAAAAAAAAGTAATTGAACAAAGAATCATATACAACAGTAAAGAAAGAAACAGAGATGAAAGAAAATTTAGGACAGTAAGAAAAAAAGCTGACATTCTGATGAGATCATGCATTCCCGTGCTGTTTTAAGGTAAGATTCTGTTGTCATTTTTAGGTGATTTTTTTAAGTTATCTTTTTTAAAAAGGGGAGAAGGTTAATCCATATCTGTTAACACCTCTAGTTCACCAGGACAAGAAGGGATGGAAACAAACGTTGCTCAGCAGAACAGGAAGCCTCAAGACAGTCAAAAGACTACCTAAGAAATATCAGAGATTCTTTTATTAAAAAAATCAAAATCCATTTATCAACCTCAGGATTAACGGCTTAAATTTTATGACTAACCTACAGCAGCCAGAATAGATGACTTATTTTCCATAAATCAGAAGTAATCAGTAAGTCAATATATGCAAAAAGCTCTGACAGCAACTAGTGACTTGGACAACTGGAAAGTGTGCTGATCTGTTCAGTTTTTTCACGACTTTGCACACAAATACCATCTGACTCATGGTATGCAACCAGGTTGAGGAATAGAAGTAACAGTTCTTTCAGTCATACACACACACACAAGCTAAATATAGATGACTTTCAATCTTGCTAGTGCTTCTTGAGTCCCAATGTCTGTTCTAGCCACAGCAGTAGGGAAGCGCTGAGGAGACCTGACTGTACCTGATATCTCCAAAATAGATTTTCTTCTTCCATAGATGTGAACATAAGTTGTGCCTTTTTATTTTCCCCAGGAGTTCCAAGCATTTGTTCAAAAAAAGCCTCTTCACAAAGTTTCAATATTCCACTTAAAACTGGAAACAGACCTTTTGACTTCATGTCAGAAGAATTCTAGGGAATTTTATTCTAGGTATTCTTTCCCAATCATCGTTGGGTAAGCCAGGAGAATCACCGTTTATTTCAGAGTCTTTGCAGACACACTAAGAAACCATACACAAATACAAAGTGCTTGACGGAGGATCTGAGCCTTGGGAATGTGGAAAAAAGCCCCTAACTTGAGGTAGTGCCTCACTGATGATACTTGTGTGGTCAGAAATTAATGTTTTAGTGATACATTAACTCTGTAAAACTGAGTTGTCTTCTGCCAAGAAGAACATCTTGTATCCACGTTTCTTATCTCTGTTATTCATAAGAAAATGAAAACTCCATCACAGAATAAATAAAAACAAATGCTTTAGTTTCTCAATTTTTACTATTCTGCCTGTTACCTCTTATGAAAAATAGTCTTTAATCATTGCTGAGAGATAACACTTTAATAAACATTAAAATATATCAGTTTGTTATGTTTTCTCTACAACTCTTTTTCTGTCTCTGCCTCTCAGACTCTCTTTGTACAGCATATGCATTATTTCATAAGGGAAAATAGCTGTTCTATTTCTTCCCTCATACAGATCTGTTCAATCCATCACAAGCCTTTGTGAGATTATAATTTATGTTAGTGAATATAATCCTGGTATCATGAACCCTTTTGTGTGCTGCCACTAGATTAGCTTGATCAAAAGTGGCAAATTACAACACAGTTTGTGCATACCATCTTTAGAAATATCACCATAAGAACATCAGGAAAAAAAAAAAACAAAAAACAGCTCAAATGAATGCTGGAGTCATGTCCTATTTGATCCTGATGGCTTTTGACATTTTTCCGACATGTCAGTAACAGACTGTTCCTTCTTCACAGACTGAGAACTCCTTATATTCAGCAGGATACAAATAGCTTATGTGCTCACTAAGAGGTTAAAGATTTAAGACAGTTGTTTCAAACACAACTGCTCTGGATACAATGATTCCATTGATTCTGTGATGCTGCTGACTATCAAAGACTATAAAATAAACATAAGATCATACTAAGACTGAACATTTTAGGCCTCATAATACTAATGGCAGATGTTTCATTTAGCTTCAGCCACCTCTTGTACAAAGGCAGCAGAGAACTCAATCTTCATATGAACAGACAAGTTTCAGAACAAATCACTAACAAAATCACCATGTGTGCCCAAACAGAAATATCAGTGAGAATTTTTAACAGTGTGAAAAGGCCCTTTTCATGGTGAAGAGAAGAACGATGCCTGCATGCACAGACAGAATTGAGGAATGGTCAACTTCTGTACACATTCCAGCAGCTGCTGAATCTGGCTGCCGTTGTGACCAACAGGCCAGCATCTGATTATCTGAAAGGTCAGACTATTAATTATCATCTAGGCTTTAAGGATATTAAATAACTGAGCACAAGAGTCACAATGCTTGCAACACTGGCTTTTCTTTCCCAACCTTCCAGCGCCCAAAACAAAGTAAAACGCAGAAATTTATACCATTTACTCTTAATCAAGTAGGGAGTATTTGAACTAATAAAAATTCCTGAAACAAAGGCAGAAATAAATGTAAATGATCAGATATAACACTGAAATTTTTTTTCTTAATGTTGCAATTCCAACTGCTTCTGCACCTTACAATTTAACTTAAATATGCTTTGCAGTATTTAATTCAGAGCTTATATGTTAACACCCTAAACACTGATGCTGACTATGTAATTTTTAATTCATAAGCACTTGCAAAATTAAAATTTTCTATTCAAATTACAGTAAGTTCAATGACGTCTTCAGAATTCACTTTTTTAGGCAATATTCTTCCCAAGCTGGTTAATTACTGAGACTTTTAAGAAGCAGCCTCATAGAAAAGTCCTTTTAATTCAGCCTCGTTAAGTTTACTAATTCGTGGCACAATAATGTCTTTTATGTCAGTTTTTAGTAGATATCAGATAGCCCTGCTTAAAAGAGAATCTGTTATTTTGAATATTTTTCATTTAAAACTCCATGCAGATTACATATCCTAGAATCTCACACATTTCTATAAAGATGCAGAACCCTACTAATCCACACTGGTATACCAAATATATTTCAACATACATTCTTTTCCTTAGCCACCACTCAATAGATGCAATCTAAAGATTCAGTAATCTCATTGCTATTAAAGCATCACATGGTGCAATATCAGATATCTGAGCAATAATTCTGCGTCTTATTTACCTGGACCTCACTCGTCCTCTGTTTGATGGTATCTTCTTTCTCCTTCAGGTCTTGTTCTACATTATTCTTTTCCCTAGAAGACCAGCAAACAATGCAAGAATACTTAAGAACATCAGCTACAGCAGGTACAGTTATCCAGCCTCCTAACCCTGTATCTCTCTTTAAATACATAGTGAAACATTAAACACAAAAGATCTAAGGGATTTCTGCTTTCCAAATAATTTACAAGACAGAATCCCACATAAGCCTTCTGCATTAAAAAAAAAAAAAAAGATGCCTTTCACCCAACTGGACTTTAGTGATAAGAATGGCTTAAAAAAGGAAGGGGGCGGGAGGAAAAAATCAATGAAATACTGTCTTCAGTGATCTCACTGTTGCTATGGAGCGCTTGTCTAATGAAAACTGCTGGGAAAAGTGGGAGGGATTGCATCAGATTCCATCTGTTAACCCCTGCAAATACAGTAATTCCTATGCTAACAGCAGCTAAAAGCATTTTCAGGAGGCCACCCTAGCAGATTATTAACCTTGACTATCATATTTTAGATATATTTGTTGGTAAGATCAGTCACAAGAAGAAAAGTTAGCCTGCTGTAATCAGCATGTGCTTAACAGACTCCATATACAGTTATTTGCTGTGTCATATCAAGTCTGTCCCTACAGACATTTATGCAAGCTTACAAGTGACTACTGATGACAGGGGAATTACCATCAGTAAATTCTTGGCAGCCAAAGATAACAATAGCCTTAAGAAAGGAAAAAGCCACACAACCCAGAAGTGTTCGTATAAAAAAAGAATTTACCCCTAGACAGTGTAAGCTATCTTTTCTCCTTTACCAGATGTAGAAAAGCAGTAGGGTAGGCATTGCAATTTTAACAATAGCTTTTGTATACAAATATTTATGTTTATAAAGACTCCGCTATTAAAATGACTACGTACATTGAAAATGAGTGTATTATCATTTTCCAATTCTGACATTTCCCTAAGGTAATTCGTTTAGAAAAGCTATCAAATGTTATTACTAGTATGTATTAAAATTAAGCTAACTTCCTATATTAATAGCAGCAGAACGGGCAATCAATCTGAAACTATTAATCTTATTATTTACTCTTCTCAAATAAGAAATCAACCACTACCATCCCCAGAGCAAAAAGGGGAATCTCCTCTGAGAAAGTTGACTTTATTCAGGCTAAGCAATGCTTAGTTACTGCTAAGCCATATACAGTGGAAGATGGAAAAAAACCAGATATCACGTCTTACAAATATTCATTCAGAAAAACTATCACTGTATATCATGTTCAGTTACTGTTTATCTCAGCATCCAATTAAGTTACTGACCATGCTTTAAGGAGAGGTCTGCATGGAGGAAAATAGAAAAATGTGGAAAGAAGGACCCTGAAGAACTAGCCTAGCTATTTTCTTAGGTGTGAACCTTCATATTTCAAAAAACTTCCCAGTCCCCATTCATCAGAAAAAAAAAAATCATGAAAATTTTACACAGATCTGCTTCCTTCAAACCTAGTACATTTCTCTAGCTCAATAAACCTGCATTTGTTGCATAGTTGAATTTAGATATTTAAAGCATCACAAGACAGAGTTGAAACAAGTCCTGTTGACTTCTGCCTTTCATAACTTTCCATAAATAAACAGTCTCAATCTCAAAGCAGTTCTCAAAGCACACAGATCTAAACAGAAGGCAAGTTGAAAAATACCATCAAGCCCTCAGATACTTATCAAACACAAGCATTCAGGCATGTTATTCCTAATTGAAGATAAATGACAATATAATTGACTAGATCAACAAAAAGTTGTTTTGTTATTTTCCAGCTTGGGTACGAAAACTGAGCAGGAAATAAAATGCAAGCAGGTACATATGCCTTTATATATAGCTTTCCTAATTCCTGTCACTGATAGGCCTGAAGAGACCATCAGAAAAGAAACTCACTTCCCCTCTATTTCAACAAGTCGGGTACCAAAATCTTGCAATCTGGACTACACTAAGCAAGCAACAGGACACAATACCCACCCACAGCCAGCTTACACTGGTCAGATCACAACACAAACAATGAATGGAAAAAACATCAAGTGAAAGAATTATTGTCAGGCCGAACAAGAAAGGCTTAGGCAGTAGTCTCAGACAAAGGAAAACAAGCTAAGTGTATATAGGTTGAACAATGCATCTACCCTCCCTGCTCCCCACCCTGAGTAAAGCATCTTTGTTTCAAGTAAAGGTAACACAGACCTACTTAATTTACTAATTCTTCTGAATGCCTCCATTTCTTTTACAGACTATCTGGTACACCCTGTATACCAGGAGTATAACCAAACTGTATTACTGGATATGACAGACTTCTTGAATCATACAGTCCCATAACTGTATGGAAACACAAAAAAAACCTGTGGTCTCAAAAGTAAGTTAACATTTGAAACCAACTCACACTCCATTAGGTAAGCAATATGATTTCCCTAGGTAACTTAATAGCAGCCAGGTCAGAAGGCCTTTTTGTTAAAAAAAAATAAAAATAATCATTGAAAACAAATAAACAACAAAAGAACAACCCAACGCACACACTTCATGATATACAAAACAAATAATATCAGTAAATCCAGCAGCTTTGCAATTTGTGAATGGAGTATTATTCAAGAATGGGAACCAGCACACGGGGAACATTTGCAATAGCTGACAGCTGAGTAGACCCATGTCAGTAGAGCCATTTAAGCCATCTCTGAAACAACCCTGGCCTTACTTCTCAATAGCTAACAATCAGAACAACACTAGTTAAAAATGAAAAATAATAAATCAGTTCTTTTCCACAAAAAGTGACTGATAGCTGCTCACAGACTTAGTAGCATCATTTAAATCAGTTACCAAACATTTATTATTTCCACATACACATCCAATTGTGGGAATTCCTAGTGTAGTAGTGCTTAATTTTGGCACTGCTAGAAAAAAAAACACCTAAAGTTTGCTCAGTTTTTCCTCCTCTTCAGTCCCCCAGTTTTCAGCTGTAACAACTCAACTACTTCCAAACCAGAAATTAGAAGAAAGCAGCTGGCTTACAGTTCTTACTGTTGATTTGCTAACAAGTTCTACATTTCTGGACTTTTAAACAAAGATTTGATGCAAGTACATGGCAACGAAAGGTTGCCCCTGGAAAAAAACAGCATTTTGTTATTTCCTTACTTTTGAGAGACTAACTTACCTGCTCTAAAATTCTCCTAGCTTGACTTATGTTCAGGAAAATGCAGCCACTGCTCTCCAACACTCACAAAGGTCAGCACCAAAGTTAAGCTCAACTATTCACACTTACAAAGCAATGTCGTATTGATAAAGTCTGAAGAAATCCCACTCATTTGTGGGCCACAGTTAGCTTTAATGCACAGAAAGCAAGCAGGGTTTGCTGGGTCAAGAAAAAGGCTCTATGGCTCAAAAAGAGAGTATTAAGAACATCTGGTTTAACCTCCCACTAGGCTGATGAAATAAAAAAAGCAGAAATAACTTTCCAAAAATACAGTGCAACGGAAATAGAATTTACAGGTCTTCTGAAAAAAGCAGTACTGCTGTCAGGCTCAAAATGATGCAGATTCCATAACATCCCTAGGCAAGTCATTTGTCCTACTAGAGGGGAATTAACCTTACTAATAGGCATTGTGCTTTTTATTTCTCATCTGATCCTCAATCTCCATTTTCTCATCTTAAGTTTTCATCAAATTAGATTAAAAAGCTCTTGGTTACCAGATGTTTTCCCACACAAACACATCACTTCTGCATTCTTTACTCTGTCTTTCAGCAAACAGCATTTTCACAACGCAGTCATTCTCTTCATTATTTGAGGGAGTTCCTCTGGTTGTTTTCTTTGTTTATTTTGAATGTGTATTTCAAAAACAGATTCAATTTCTACTAAAGGCTTCCAGAAATGCAGCTCTCATTGATAAAACACAACTCATGGATTAGAATTAGTACATACTGGGTTTAATCATTAAACAATTTGTCTTGTTAATAATGAATAAAATTGTTTGGATGACATTTTAATATGGTAACTATAAAGACTGAAAATATATTTAACCAGTTATACCTGAAATGCAGACTTCCCAAGAGATGAGAAATTTCCTAAACATCACAAAGACCGATCTGCTGCCTCCTACTGCCACCTGTACTTTAGGTGAGATACAGGAGAGTAACATTTCCACTACCAAAATGACTCTTTTACAGCAGCTAAACAATTGCTAAGTAATCAAAATTAATTTATTAGCAACACAATTCTATTCTGGGCCTGTAAATAACAAAGTAACTTTCCACTTTTTTAAATTAAAAACGTGCTAGTAATTGCCCCTATAGCAATATTATAGCCCCACTGATCAGATATAACCCAAATAAATAATTTGGCACAGAAGAAGAAGCGGAAGCAGTGACTTCCAAAGGCCATGGAGTTCCTTCATATATCAGAGGGAGAAAGAAAGAGCAGAACACAACAAAATGGTGTGAATGTTAGGCTGCAAGTACACTTGGTAAAAAACAAACAAAAAAAAATCCACCTTTATGTAAAAATTCACACTTGTGAATAATTTATTTCCTTCTAATAACAAATACACATAGTTGCAAATGAAATTTTAGGTTAATAAATGCGTAAGTCCAAAACTGCTATCAATACAAGTTAAGAAAGAACAGAGGAAGCCATGGCAGGGACAAGTGAGGAAGCAAAGAAAAATAACAAGCAGTTCAAGTGCAAAAACATTTATCTATTTAGGAGATGGGCTGTGCTTTGACACATTTCCAAATAAAAACATTCCTACAAGTGACATGGATAAGACACACTTTCTCATCATGGCAAAGCACCTTAACTGACTGTTTTTGACAGAATGAACATACAGTCTGTTTACAATAGTAGCAGAAGTCACTAAAGAAGAATATCTGCTATGTCTTGAGAGTATGACAAAGATTATACAGTATGTATGAACCTGATTTTCTCAGTGACTTGAAATCATCTTAGCCTAGAAATAATTAGCCTAGAAATAATTTTTGGAAACCAAGCATCTGTCTAGCTCTAATTTAAATAATTCTTACAGAGGAAAAGTGAATTTCACCAAACAGAAGGCAAGTACGTCTATCTTTACCACCATAAAAATTCTAGCTGATTTATGTAAGTCCTTACGTAAACTGCCACCTTCTGACTCCCTTCCCTATATCCTTCTGAGCCATCTTGTCTCAGTTCCCAGCCTACACTAGGAAGGATTTGCTCTACACATCAAAGGCATCTTATACTAATTTGTGTCCTGGCTCCCACAACCTTTGTACAATCTCCTGTATTCTCATCTGACAATAAAGATGAACAAAAGAGAGTATTTGGACCCTAGGATGCGAGGAGATGCAGCTCTCTGAAATATGTGCAGAAGTGACCCTGGACAGAATTTTCAAGTCTTGCTGTTACTAAACGCAGTCTTCTGAGTCAACAAAGAATAGAAGAGTTAAACATCATTAGAATAAATTTATCAATTTGCTTACCATTGGTAACAGACTACATTACCTTCCCATTTCCTCTTATGCATTGTTTTTTTGGTTTATATTTAAGGAAAAAAAAAAAAAGCAAGAAGTAAAACAACCAAACATTCCTCCTTCACCTACCTCTGCAGGTCTACTATTTCATTGTTCAATGTATCAAGCTCTTTAATTGCAGAAAAATCTGCTACAGAATTCAGTCCTTGAACATTCTGAAAGAAAGAAAAAGTTTATGCAGTCTGACATCTACCTTCACTTTAGAAGTGAAACACAAACGTAACAACTGTTTGTAGCATTACTTTTCAATTTTTATTGTTAAAAAAAAAAAAGCAAAAAAACCAGCCCAGCTGCTATATTGACAGAATATACCATATGAATCTGGTAATACAGAACAAGTTTATCTCCTGTAAATTCTTGAAGGCATGCCTTCCACAAAAGCACACCTAATCATACAGTAGGAGTCTAGTTCTAAAATTAAATTTATTTTCTGGTTAATGTTTAGCTGGTTTCCTATCTCTCATTTAAAACTGGTTTGGTTTATTTACTGCTGATATATGTATTTCTTCACCTTGGTGAACCCCCTGATGCAAAGTAAAAACGCTTTGTTTGCAATGCTTTAAGCTGTATCTAGCTGGGTTAACACAAATCCCAGAGTACTGACTGAAACTCTGATAATACATAATTACAGGTAATTAATGCCCGTGAGTTCTTCCTTAACAACTTCCTAATGAGAAAACTACTATAACTCAAATTATGCATATGTTTATGAATTTACATAAATGACTAGGGAACAAGTTTTAAACACACAAATTAACAAATGTTTTATTATGCCTGAATAGAACACACACACATTTAGGAAGCCATACACATAGTAACTACATTCTAGAACACATATATTCCTTCAAGCTTTAAATAAAGTTATCTGGGACAAAAAACAGAAGTTCAGAGGGCAACATAACATTCAGCTGGTGATTTCTCAAAAATAGCACAAATTCAAGTCTTTAAATTCTGCAGAAAAAGATTTATCTTTCTCTGAAGGTAAATCAAGATGCTACTAACTACTTATTTATTCATGTGTATAACTGGGGAAAAAAGTAAGAAATCTTTAGTCAACCAAAGACCTAACCAGGAAATCTGAGCAGGGCGGCAGAGAATATTATTCAGCACAATTACAGATTATTCATATATATTTTCATTGGAACAAATGACACAAATTGAGAATAAAAAACCATACAGTTATTCTTAAGCTGGTTTCTCAAACTGGCCAAATAGTTACGAAGTTCAGTCCTATTCTCAAGAATTACACTGGAGTTTTACCGAGTTGCTCACAGTGTTCTAATGAGGAAATCCTTCCTTCTCCTAGAAAGAAGGAAGGAAAGTATGGTGGCACGAGCCACAAGTGCAAATTCTTTCTGGAGTTTGTTTTCTAATGGTAACTCTAGCATCAAATTTGAACAAAAATGTAGTACCATCATATTTTCAGTTCTTCAGGAGAACTCTAGGGAGGGACGTGGTCCAGAAAGGCCATTTTTAGCTTTATTGTACAAGTTCAGAAGAGACAGAAGTTGGAATTATTTGCTGCCACTTAACACACAACAGCACACATGCAAGCAACACCTCAACCTTTTATACTGAAAATATTAATAAAAGTTAATTTCAGTCACAATTCCATAAAGGAATTTGAATGAAAGTGTAAGTTTTACAGCCAGTCATGCAAGAGCTGGTTTTGTAACTACAAACAGCTTTAGGTAAAGGAACATAGCAACAAATACTAAACTACTACTGCTCTTTCCCATTTATGAGATCTGCATTCAAACCTCAGAATAGAAATAAGTAGTTATACTATTGTGGTAATGAAATTCTGCAAGGACACCAAACATTAGAAAACAGCAATATACATGCATGTGATTTCCAAATACCTACCAAGAAGGACTGCAAGTTAACTTTCTGTACTTCAGAAATACAATGGATTACCATTATGGTTACTGATATTTTTGCTACTACCCTTATACTGGTAAACCAGGAGAGGAAGCCTACCTGTTTTTATTAATTAAGCCACATCACTTCAAGAAATACAGAAAAAGGCCTATTTCTGCCCACCACTCTTACTTATCTTTCTGTTCAGTTCTTGAGCAATGAAGTTCTTCCATATCCACTAAGAAGACAGCATCTTTTTTGGAAAATCTCAAAATGAGCTAAGCCTTTAGCTCATCTAGTAAAATGAGTTCTGGGTAAGGATTTAGACAGCTAACTAAAAGATCTCTCTTAACTTCTTTTATAATATTCTTACTCTTATCTTTTATGTTAGCAATGCAAAATCACTGCAAAATTCAACTGATGTCTTTAAGAGTTCTGTGAAGACAACGTACACAGAATAGCAGTAAACAATGTTGATTTCATCTAAAGTGTCCTGACCACTACATTTTCTGAAACATAATTAGTAATAACATGGATATCAGTCCTAATGGATACTGTCATCTGTTAGACTGGGTTACAACTGCCACCACTTCCCCAACAATTTGAACAGGATAACACAAAGCACTTTCTTTTGTGAACTTAAGCAGTACACATAGCCAACATGTAACAGCCAGAGGTCTATCCCAGAAACCATTTTCTGCACAAGAGTGGATCACGTACGCTGTGTTAGTTCAGATTTGCAAAGCACCTTGAGATTCTTCCAGATGAACAACACTGGAAACCAGTAATAATTTGAGATTGCAACAAGTTGTGATGCTTCAGAAAAGTGCTGCACTATTTCAGTGGTTACTTAAGAGTCTTAGAAGGATGCTCATTATCAAACCAACAGACAGTAAATATTAGAAAAGCAAAGATTCTCTAACCTTGAGAAAGCAGAGTTAACAAACTGACAGAATAATAAGGATGAAAAGCAGAGTGGTGCAGAATGGAAAAAACAGTCCAAACTAGAAAAGAGACATAGAAAGGAAAGCAAACATACAAAAAAGATTAGTAGGGTTGCAAATAAAGCAATTACTTTTTAAAAATAGAATGTAAAAAAGAAATAAGATTCCAGTTACAGAAACTCAAAAGTAGTGCCAAATTTTGAGTTTCTAGTTTTTCAGTTGCTGATTTTTCATTCTGTTCAAGAAAGTATAGAATCAGGTCAATGCTTTGCACAACCAAGAAAAGGTAACCAACATAAGACTCTACGATGCGTAAAACAAGTAAGAATTTGCCATGACTTCTGCCATTTTGATAAACATAACTTGAACTGTTGAGGTTTAGTCTACTGCTGGATTAAGACAGATGGCAATTAACAGGCTATCAAGACATTTAAACTATCTGTGAAGAATAAAATGGTGGACATTTACTTTTTGAACTTTAAATACATAAACTATTTAGTTCACATTATTCTGAGAGTTACTGAAAAAAAGAAAATGTAGAAGATAATCGAAAAGCACACTAGGACAAAAACATAGAACTTGTGAACTAAGATTTCTTTAGACAGGAAAAAGATTATTCTTTTAAAATAGAAAATAATGCTTTCTCAACATAAGATCTCTCTGCTTGGTTGGCAAGTGTAATAAATGACAGCTTCATTTCAAAACATGAATGGAGCAGTGTTTCATCACTTCTTTGTAATTAATACTCGTTTTCTTCCTGATATTACAATAACCTTAAGGTTTGTCAGTACTTGAAATGTCTCCTATGCAGCCTTTGAAATTTATACCAAGCATGCAAACCCATCCTTACCTTCTGTAATGTGACACTCCTGTCTGAAGGTGGAATCATCTCTGGAGTCAGAGCTTGAGGTGGATCAATGCCCTTTGTTAATTTCTGATTAATTAAGTAGAAAGCCAAAGCAAACTGTTCCTTGGAAAGCTTCCCACAGTCCTTTGTGTCACACAGAGCCCTGCACAGAGATGCACATGAAATAAACCAAATCTTCATTTCCACAAGTATAACTCTACATGTAATACTTTATTTCACTTAGAACTGTGAAAACAGCTACTGTATCTCTCTTCTATTAAAAAAAAAAAATCAAAACACAATAAACCATGGTAATAAATACAGAAACATACACAACCACTTCCTCCTCCTGTGCAAAGTTCCAATGCTCTGTTAGAATAATTACTAATCTGGTATAAGGCAGAACTAGGCATACAAATTGCAACATCTGAATATCTGCAGCTGAATTTACCTGCTAAACTGAAGAACATTCCATAGGCAACACCAGTTTATATCATTTTCCTAGATTTCCTAAATTATATTAACCATACTTTGAAAAAAAACAATGTTTTTTCTACCAGAGTGCCATGCACTAGCTTACAGTGGAGAAAAATTTAGAAAAAATACCACCACACAGTAGGTGTCACTACAGGCTATAATATACAGGCTATAATGAAAGACAAACGATTCACAGAATTAGATGAGCCCTGGGTCTCGAATGCTAAGAATTTCATACAGATAATTCTCAAATGGACAGTATCAGTGTTCAAATACACAGCAACATTATGGTGCTTTATATGGAGGCATTTAGCTAAATGCTGTATTTGTTTGTAGCCATTTCTTCAGTCTCTTTATTTCCTCTAGCTAGGAAATAGCTCATGGCATTAACCAATTTTCCCCCTATTTCTATCCAAAAGTAGAAGCAAATTAAGTTACCACTGCTAATACAGAGGTCTTGCTATTGTATATGAAAATAGCTCTCATTTTCTATAAATGTCAATATAGCACTTTTCATGAAAAGAGCTAGGAAAGATCAAGAACCATACCATTGCCTAAACAGCTGTCATGGGAAAATAATCCCTACCAGATATGTGCAAGCAGAGCAGAAGGCAGTCCTGTCTTCAAGAATAGTTCTCTGGCTTCCACACCTGACACAAATCCATCCATGTCCTTGTCAGTTTTCACAAAGATCTCATCATACTTAATTTTGTCTGCAGGCGATACAACCCACTGAAGGGAAGGGAGGGGGAGTGGTAGAGAGGAAAACAAAACCCACAATACCAAGATAAAGACAGTTCTGTTTTTGGTTATATATACTTTCAGAGTTACATAATTCAAGAACTACAGCACATTTTAAATTTATGAATCACTTTTATCATCCAAAATAGACATGTATACGCATCTGCAAGACACTCCAAAAGCAGGAACACTGGTATCAGTGAAGGACCACAGTTGGTTGATACTTCTTTGCCTATGCAATAGAAGTATCCCCTGGGGTGCAGATCTCCTCCTAGCATGGGGTTCTGTGCTCACCACTGTACTCATAGTCTGACTCCATCAACTTCATTCCTCTTTACATAGCTGGAGAACTTTAGCTAGGTCAAGCTCAGAGTTAATAGCTGGGACATTCTAAATTGTAGGTCTGAAGTTCTTACTAGGGTAAAGATAGGAGTTACAGCCACATTTCTTACTTCAGCAATTTTTCCAATACTATACTATTTACTATAAGAAGATGGGGGAAGGATGAGTGAAAATTGCTTCAGCCTCTGCATACATGCATGCTTGTGGATACTAATTTAAGTGTACAGGGACACTTAACATACAAATCCCAAATGGTACTGTATAAAAAAAAAACATACACCAAGACACACATCCAGAACACACTGCTTTGTAATACATATACTACCCAGGCTTAAGTCAGTCAAGTAAGCTGACAGACTAAAGTCTTGAAATCAAGAGACCTAAAGTGCCAATTTTCTGTTGATTACTCAAATACAAGTGCCCAAATATCTAAGCAGCATCTTACGCATTAAAGTACTTCAGCTCTCACTTCAGATTCCTTTCTCGACATCTGCTTTCAAATATAACCAGTAAATTATAATGCACTTGAAAAGACATATTCCCAAATTCTGGATTCTAAAATGATCAGAATTCAATAAGATGCTTTTCTGTTGGAGTTAAGTTTCTTAGTAACTACATTCAGAACAAGCCCCAGATTTCACATATTTCAGTGGATGTGCTAGACCTTCTGTCTTCTTTCTTTCCATACCTTGCAGTGATCTATTGTTTTCATTAATGTCTTCTTCAAACTGCTTGCATGCACATGTAAGTACATACACAATCCTATCACAATTTGTCTTAAAAACTGCCCATACTCAAATCAGTATTCAGTCAGAACAAACATTCTGCCTACGTATACTTGGATTAAACTGTTTTCTAAGTGTTCTGATCTTTGGGTTGAGCTAGATGCTTTGAAGCAATTTATTTTAAAAACATCTTCAAAATCTTCACTAAATAATATGCTTTTATCCAACTATTTATATCTGAAGACATCTGAAGAAATTATGTATTATCTTTTCTCTTAATCTGGTCTTCCCATCACCCTCCTCAATTTTATTATCAATAGGGGAAGGAGAAGGAGATAAAAAAAATGTTTATCAAGACTCTTCACATGGGCAGACACCAAAGAACAACATTAAGAACAAATATTTTGACCCCAATTTCCTTTAGAATTATACCTGTGTTAATGGTGCTTTGGCAGCTAAAATGCCTACAGGTGGCAAGGACTGATGAGAATCTTTGGAAGATGCTGAAGAAGGAATTAACGGCATTGCTCCTGGAACACTAATAGGTTTTCTCTTGGATAGTGGCACCAAAGCTGCAGGCAAGGACATTGGCACTGGTTCTTTCTCCAACGCGCAGTACACCAAGAACATGGCCTGAACACAAAGAAACAAGCATGTGAATGAGGAGAGGAGAAGGAGAAAGAATTAAGAAATAACTTTGTAGCATGTTTTCACAATATTTCATTTAGCCCAGAGGGAAAGTTACTGTTGTGTAATAATATATTCAATAAATTGATGCTAATTTAGTAATAAAATTTGATTAAAGTCTTTGAATAAAGGCAAGAAATGAAACTGCACAGTCAGAATCTAACACACAATTCACCCATTTTGAGCTTCTGTCATTCAATTTTCAAAATTCTGAGGTATATAGGATACTTACAACTGCAAATTCATCACGATCCAACATTCCATCTCGGTCAATATCACTCAATTCCCACACCTACCAATAAAAAGAAGAATATAGGGATATTTGCCTAAACTGTAGTGTTTGCCTTTTTATATCATTACCAAACAAATGTGAGAACAGTCTCCTCACACTACATCTAAAGTCCTACTAATCTAACAGCAGATTTCAGTAAATGATACACATTCATACAGACCATGCAAAAGAAGAGTCTGAAATTGGAGTGCTAATTGAACCCTGTCCAAAACAAAGTGTTAAAGCATACACAACACCGATACGTTATAATTAGAGGTAATCTATCAAAATATCAATGAAAAATTTTACAGTTTAACAATTACACGTATGGTCACTCCATATGACAATATTTAGTAATTAGGCTTATTACTACAAACAGAGGATTGGAGAAACAGATAAAGATGAGTGAAGCATAGTTATTATCTGTGAATTAACAATTAATTGAAAAAAAAATAATAATAGGAAGCTATTCTTACTCGTCCTAAGATATCCACCGGCAGTTTTGAGTTGAGGAGTACAGGTTTCACTTTATCTCCTGACAGTAGTCCATTAACAGGATTTAGGCTGTCAAAAATAGCATCATACTTGGCCTTGTCTTCTGGCTGCAGAAACAGAAGAGAAATATTACTTATGGAAACAGTCACACTTGCACTCTACAAAGCACTTTCAAAAATATTGACTTACTTCTGTCAATGCTACAATGAGAAAAGCATACATGGAAGTTCCTGATACACAGAAATTACATCCCCCCCCCGACACCCTTTTTTTTCCTTTTTAAATGCAGAGACTTGTACAAAATCCATTGAGATTTAGTCCTCATTTATTTTCATGTCTTCAAGTGACTATTCTCAATAAATCAAGTTTCTTCCCAAGATTTCCCAAGCAGTTTCACACCTCCCCCAGACCCATACAAATTAGATCTACAAGCCAAATTACAGATTTAACAGGAATGTCAATTTATCATATTTAATGAACTATAGCTATCAGTACCATATTTTTCTCAATTTGTGCTTCCTTACAAAGCACATCACTTTTCTACGTAGTAGCATGATATTTCATTTACCTTAACAGCCCATGGTATATCACTTGATGCTGTTCCACTGAGCAGCAAAGGACTACTAGTATCAGTCTAATGAAAAAAAAGAGAGAAAAAACTCACTTAAAAAAAAAGTTCTGACCTTTCAAAACCACCCCCTTATTTGAGAAGTCATTGCTTCTCAAAGCATTTTAGTCATGCATACTTTAGTTAGGGAGATAAAGATTTACAGTAAGAAATTTAAAACCTTTCTTCCATTAAGGACAGCACTAATAGAACAAGTGCCATAAATATTCCAATTTTACACAATTTTACTTTTATAACCCCGCTAGCACATGCAGCACCTTATTCCAACTCCACATTCTCTTGTTCTCCCCTCCCTGCAACATGTTTTTCAGAAATATTTAGTATTTAAGAAGTTGATATGTGTATTAAAAATAAAATCTTACAAATCTTGGTGGAGGAACAGGCAAATTGAGACTACTCAGGGAAACATCCAATCCATTCTGCGCACATGCTACAAGCCGTAAAGCTACAAAAAACTCCTACAGGAAAAATCAAATTGTAACAGTTTTATTATATGAAAATATGCAAGAGCAAGAATTAAGAAGTTTTCTAGTACTGTTATAGATACAATGGTCACAAGCAGCTTGGAAGGGTAGGAGTTGCAAAATGACAGAAAGCAGCAGTCAAAAAAAACACTGAATTCTTCCAGCGAGGTAAAACTTGCTATTACTAGCTCCATGCATTTAGTAGCTTCCTTGCTTGTATAACCAGCTCTCTGTACTCAGTTCTTCTATGACAGAGAAATAAGAATCTGAAGCAGCAAGTACAGCTGTTTATCTTGAAGGAACTGAGTTAACCCCAAAGGGGCAGTTGAGAGTGGAAGAGGGAAGAAACGTACAGCATATGAAAGAGATGAACCAAACTGGAAGGCTGATGAAAGATTTATTTCATAGATGCTACAAGCATCTTTTCCTAATGTGGACTAAAGCAACCAACTCTCTGCAGGCCATTATTTAACTAACTATACTTCAAAGTATCAAACAGCAATATCACATCAGAGCTTGTCAGCAGCTCACGCTACATGCACCACTGATGTACATCTGACTGACACAGACATACTGCTCACAGCTGCAGCTTAAAAAGAACAAGTCCAAACACAATGCACACATGTGAAATCCAGCAAAATTAGATAAACAGGGATTTTGAAGATTTTACAGCCTTTTAATTTCTGCATTTTTCCCCTCAAGATTAAGAGGAAAAATTTTCTTAATAATAAATACAGTACATTAAACCTTAAATTATTCCTCTGTTGTATTGCACACACACACAGCAGCTCACTTTATGACTTGAAGAGAAACAGATGAGGTAGCTGAAGGGTACTTCATTTATTGTAGCTTACACTGAAATGGGGAGTACATACCAGAAAGAAAATAAATCCTATGAGAAGAATTGCCTTCCTGAACCAGAAACATTAATACTCGTCTCATTGCAAGGTTTGCTAGCAGTTAGAGTAACCTCATTCATCATACAATCATACCTGTTTGTTCAAGATTCCTTTGCTATCAGTATCAGCTAAGTCCCAAATCTAAAACATAAAAACAATAGTCAAAGGTATTCCAAAACACTAAGAGGAAGCTGGCAAGTTCTCACTCACTTTAAAACAATGTAATTTTTGGATGGAAGTTCAGTTCTTAACTTTTGTTATAGCAATTATTTGTGGTGACAAATTTAAATGCTGTTTTAATTTCCATCACAAGTTACATATACAGTAAAATAAGCACAGGTACTGAAGTTTGAAACTATTAATACCACTACTGAAAACACATTAGGGAAGATCATGTATCCTGCCATACCTTTCCAAGTATTTTAATTTACAGGGGATGCTAACTGAAGCAAGGGACAGGATAATTAAATACTTATCATTAAATACCTTTCCAAGTACCAAGTCTGTCAATCCAGATTTCTTCAAGAAAACAGCTGCATCAGAAGCTAACACTCTTCCAGTATTAGCAGAATCAACCTGGGGGTAGAAGAAAAAAAAGCCAACTTGCATCACAAACCAGCTTTCAAATTGATGGAGACTCACTACAGAAGCTCTCAAAAAGCTAGCAAAGAATGCTCAGGTTAACATAGCCACTGTGAGAATCTCTTTCAGCAAAGGCAGAGTAACACAGTATCAGCTGTGTTTATTTTTAATTTCACAGTACATCTGCGTAAAATGAATGACTAAATTTATGATAAAACTGGAGGAGTACTAAGTATCAGTGCTATTTCAGGTGATGAATTTATTCTTCATTGGTACAGAAAGCTCTTAAGTGCTTCTAGTATGAAAGAAACAAGACATGCTCTACTAATATTATATGACAAAGGGAAACGTCTTTCCAATGTTGCTATTTTGAAAGCTGACATCTCCTTATGTAAAGGAGGAGAAGGAAAAAGTTATCATGTGCATCTGAAAGTGTTTAGACAGTACATTCCAAAGTTACTTCTTAGAACAGATGCTTGCAGAAAAAGCATTTGGCTGAGCAAGTCAGAAGACTCAATTCCGTAGACAACAAATCCACTGACACAACATAACTAACAGTAACATCAGGTTCAAGGAATCCCTGTGGATGTATCCTGCTGAGACTGCCAGACAATGCTCCAATGTCACTAGGCTGTATAAGCCAATGGATGCAAGATGCTAAGTGACTTCAGAAGCTGGATCATACTTGGCCTGTAACTCCCTTTCTTCATCCAACTTTTTGTTTCATACTTCAGTGATTAAGCAACTGCAACCACGAAGAAGAGACAGACAGGTGTGTGGCAAAGATTATCCAAGTCAGTGATACAGCCATTTGTATGGAGCTAGGAAATCTAATATGGAGAAGAGAGTTCCTTGTCTTTTCTTGTGACCCTCTAATGATAAACATAATATGGTATTCTCTAAAGGATTTGTACTCCTAGTGAGAGAGAGAGAGCAAGTTTGCTCATCTGACTGAAAGATAGTTTTGTAAGGGTGATACTATTTCTTTCAACTCTCATAAGCCATCCTAACTATGACCAAGGCAAACTTCCTCTTTTTGTTCAGCAATTTCAAAACTGAAATGCCCCTTTTGTGGAGAAAGATCCTTCTTAGGAAGCGAGTGCTCAACTTTTTGAGGCATAAGTTGATAAATGGTTTTGTACACCTTTTTTTTTAAACCTGTTTTTATGAAAACAAACTTTTTTTTTCCCCCTTCTGGATCTAAATACAAAAGACAAGTGATAAATAAAATTCCAAAGTCAAAAGATTTGTATCTATTGAGTGAAGTTGCAAGAACTACACATATGCTTTTGGCATTCGGTTGCCTTTCACTCCTTACAGCACTGGAAAGAACCTTAAGGCACTAAGAGAGATGCAAGTCTTACACAAACCTAACTGGTCTACAAACACAACAAAGTCAATTTCACTTATAAATGGAAAACAACCAACCACATCAGCACAGTATTTGGCAGGGGTTTACTCCAGTCCAACTGCTAACAGTCTTCTTATTGTAAATTGATGTATGTTTTGTTGAATTTGCTAGCAAACTGTCATATATAAATCTTACACCTTCTTTTGTACTGATACAGCTCAGACAAGTGTTAGTTACTAGAGAAATATATTGTAAGTCAGCAGTTTTTTTTTTTTTGAACTTCAAACATTTACACTCCGCTGGCCATGCTGAAGTCTACAACAAAAGAATATTCTTTTATGTAAAAGAAAGTTTATTTTCTCAGCAAGAACATACGTACCTGTCGATAGAACTTCTCATACACAGGATTTGCACTTGACAACTAAAAGAGAAAAAAAAAGGAAAAAAAAAAGATATTCAATTAACCATAAAATCTGCATTTCAGCTCCCTTCTCCCTGGATGACTAGAGCTAGGAAACACTTTTTGCTGGTCTTCATAAAGCATTATGCACTTATACAAGTCTATTTATTTTGCTAAATGATGAGGACTATTATATCGTAACTTGTAGAAGACTTGCTCCTTGTTTTGGAGTCACTGACACTAATCACTATCAGGTTACTCTCAGACAGGTCACCAGGATAGGCAGCATGAAACAAATTCGAATGCAAGATCCAATACAAGCCAAGAAACCTGCAATGACACAGTTTAATAAGTGCTCACTAATGAATACGAAGCAAGATAACTGGATTTCATTATCCACTAAATCATCATTTAGAATTCACTGCCTTAAGCAAGTAGTCTGCGAAGTTTTCAGATACCCGAGTAAGTTGTTGCTGTGAATTTAGTTATGAATCCACGATTATTAGAAAAAAAAGGGGGGGGGGGAGGAGAATAGATATTTTAACATGTATCATTGCTAAATTCACTTCTGCCTTACTGTCACTACCACCTACCACACATTTAGAGCTCACCTAACCTCAAGCAAGCAAGGATTAAACAGCATCTAAACCTACAATTATTGCACTCTGACTTTGCTTTGGTACGTGGAAACTTCTTGTTTCAGCCACTACCTAAGTAGCCACTTACATAGCCCTTAGAATTGCCTGACAAAATACATTCACATTTTGCCAGACCTGACTACCACAGCACCAACACAACACTTTCCAGCACGCCCAAAAGGATACTATACTTTCTCAATTAATCTTCAAGTGCTGCACTTATCAATTCACCTACAATTTTAATAGCATTTTAGAGGGGCTGTTCCCCAAAACATTCAAATATTTTACTAAGTTCATTAATTCATCATAACGTGCCAGTATAGACAAAATCCCACTAAAGCTAGGAGCAAAATAGTGGAACAAAGTTGAGCAGTGTGTGCTCTAGAAGTAAAAGCCCACATCATCCCTCTTGCCCAATATCACTCTTTGTTCAGCCAAATGTTTCATTATTACAGCCAAACCTATCATTGTCACTGCTGGACAGGAAATATCATGTTGGAGTCCTGCAAGGAAAACACTGAGTGAAAAACAATCTTTTCATTCAGCACTTGGAGCACAAGCCAGTCATTCTTATTTGTTTCAGCAGTGTTTGCAATGTCCACTTTAACATCAGTATCATTGCAACAATTGGAATTTCCTGTGACACCAAATAGAATAATAGTAATAAAAAAATTCCTGACTATTTTTACTAGTAACTGACTTCTCCTGCAAAGTACACCTCACATTAAAAGGTATTAATATTGTCAGGAACATTCTCTATTTGCAAGAAGAAAAACACTGCTCTGCTTCCAAAGGTGTTGCTGTAGAATTTACCTGTGAGCACTCTTTTTATGGGATTTGTAATATGCAATTGTAGAGAAAAACCTCAACTTGTTCACCATGCAAAAAGGAAAGAGGGAGAAAAGGTCAGATTCCACTGCATGCAAAAATGAAAATACATTATTATGTTTGCATTTAAAAGTTTATCACTTCACAAGAGTAACGTCGGTTCTAGTAATTATCACCTTTGTTACAAAACCTTTGAACTTTAGGATACTAACCCAGGAAATAAAAAAACCCACCTTCAGGGACACCAGTCTTTTTCATTTCCTAGTGGCACTCAAGCCTTTACACCCATGTTTCCACCCCTCTGTCACGTTTCTACTTAGCTTTAACATCCACAACCTTCCTTTGCTCACAGCAGTGAAAAAGCCCTGATTGGGGGGCTATCTGCAGAGAAAAAAAAAACAACACAAAAACAAACCATCCCTCCAAAACAAATGAGATAGAACAATTCATCTTCTATCTTGCCTCCTATCTCAATTAAAAACCAAAATTATCATGAGGCCAAGCTTTAGGATTCGTTTTAACAGTTTCCATGTCAAATGACACCATCTGGTAGTAAATATTCTTCATGCAGCCATCCTCTTGCTCTTTCCTGGTCACAAAATGACTCAGGATAGAAGAGAACCTTTCAGACACAGCAAGAATCTCAGCTCCCCATTTCGGAGAAGTTAAAAAGGGAAGGAAGAATAAAGTACAAGCAGTTCTTCTTCCATATGAGAAGCAGCAGCCTCCTAAAGGTTGAGGAGAGTATGAAATTAGTCCCTAAAAGACAAATTAACACCAATGGACAACTACAACACCTGGAATCCCAACAGCAGAGCATAGTTTGGGCACAGTACTAACAGAGTTACAAGCAAACAACAACAGCAAAGCCACACAGCCAAAAAGCAGTCAAGTTTAAGGCAAGCTGTGTTTATTGTGATGTCCCTTCCAAACAATAATAAAACCATCTTTTCTCCCACTGCCTTTCTTTTTTATTCGAAACATATAATGGCAAAGCTTTCTAGCACTCTCTATGCTAAGAACAACTGAACTTCAGCTTGAAGCTGACATGCTTCATTATAGAAAGTACAAATGCTCAAACAATGCATCCATTAAAAGTAGTATCTGGATCTACTCTTTGTTTTTCCCCACTATAAAATTCCTCCATCTAAATATCATTACCACACTGACAGCAGCACTAATAGTCTCACATATACAAAGGGAGCTACACAGTCACTCTGTTCCAGCACATGCAACACAAGACCAAAATGACAATTACTACTGCACATTCTGCATGTTCACACTGTTTACACCCATTCTTTTGGAATTTTGTCCTACTGACGCCTAGATGGCTCTTCCACATTCATCTGACCACACAGCATTATATATTCCAAACAAGAGCAGACATTCTCTACAGACATCTCTTGCTCATACTTTAAATAGTCCATTGCATTCTGGAATCACACCATTCTTCTCACTCATCTCAGTTATGATGATGTTAAAAGGAGTTACTGAATGAAAGCTTCTTTCAGATTAAAAGGTTTTCCCTCTCTAACAACAACACAGGTGAAATGAAGAAAATATTTGCTGTAAATTATATGCATCTACAGCCATGCACTTGAAGAGTCAGAACTTTCATTCCCCTTAGGCAGCTGAAGCATGCACAGAAACTGCCATCTTCCTTCTGCACAGACATCTGTCACTGCATAATTAAATACTGTTCAATTTTATTCTCAAATCACTCCAGGAAACCTCAACCATCTTCTAATCAGTACTGAACGAAGTCTATAAAACACAAAGAAGCAGCTCCACTGCCTTTCAGCCACTAACATGGTCAATCTCAACCAAAAAATTAAATCCTATCTGCTTTACCAGCTGAAACACACATTCATGCACACACACTAAAATTCCCTGATCTTTCAGAAAGGGCAGAAAGCGGAACAACAGATTTCTCATGTCTATAAAATATGTATATATATTTAAAAATAAAAATCATTTTGTGAATCCTAACAAAAATCTGGAGTTCACCAGATACTCGGAGAGAGAAAGAATTAAGTCACGGGAGAGCTTTGCTTTTTGGCTCTATTATAACATACCTATTACTACAAACCAGTCCTGTGTATTTATACTCCTGTGTATTTATACTCCAATAACTGGATAGGAACCTAGCAGGTATCTAACTTAGCCTCACTGTAATATTCAGTGAGTCTTTTGGACAACACTACATGGAATTCCAGACACCCATGACACAATACAAGGCAAACAAGAAGTTATCTTCCATTCTCCCTGAATACTTCCATGCAGACCTACCTCGATTCCTCCAAACTTTCAATCACACAGTTTGTCATGCTGAACCACAGCTTTAATTCTCAAAAGCAACAAAGCTTTTTGAATGCCTGTATTACACCAGCCTTCAACATTCAGCATTCAACATACATACCTTCCACACTCCTGATATGCATTTTGTGCTTTTTCTATTTGCTTTTCCCTCTCTAAATTAAACAAGATAAGTAGCCATAGTTGGAAGGTCAAAAATGAAATTGTTCTCCTTGGCGATAGCTTGAGTTCTCCAACAACAGATGACACTGCTAGATACCAACACTTCCTCCTCACTGGTACTGCTATCTTGTTTCCACGTTAAAGATACCTCAGATCATTACCAAAACTGGGGGTAAGAGGAAGAGATTATCATATTCATTTTGTAACACTCTTTAAGTATACTCAATGTTGTTAATTTCATTACAGCCATGCAGGTTTGAAATGTTTTTAGTTATCAAAGTTCCATGTTATTTAGGCAGGGCCTTAATATTCAAATAAAGGATGTTGGCCTTCTCAGACACCACAGGTGCAAAGCCATCTGAAAATACCCCAGCCTGATTTTGGAAACCCCCAACTTCCTAGCTGTGTCAAATCAGTCAAACCCACATGGGAAGGGGGAAAGAAAATCTGAGACAACTGTGAGCTTGAATGCAGGTCAAGCATGACTGCTTCTGATTCTCTGCATGAGGTCTACAGCAGCAAAGGACCAGCCTGCATACTTCTCCTGCTGGTGTAAGTAATTGATCTCACTGCAGGTGGTAACTATACCCTCCCACCCAACCCGTACTCATTTTCACTTCCTGATACTACATCTAAACACATTCAGAACACTTATGATTTGTTAGGATTTTTCATAACTGTGGAATGCCAAGAACTAGAGCCTAAATTTAAGAAATTACCTTCAGGTTTGTTTGACTTTCTGAAATTATTCCCATTCGATTCACCCTCCTCTCACTCGCCAAAAAAAGAAACCCTCACATCGATGATCAACAACAACAGAAAGCTTCCTCAATCTAACCACTGATGCAAGTTGCAGTCACAATGGTTTTAAGGATAGCGGCACTTTTTCTGCCTCTGTCAACATTAACACATTTCTATTTAGTTCCTCTTCCACGTGACCAAAGAAGTCAATAAATTCTACAATGACAGGATTACACAGCCTGCAAGCAATCGTGTTTTACTGCTGAACGCTCTACAGCAGACACTCCTTCCCCCTCCCCACATAACGAGCCAGAACAGCCCGTGCCCATACAGCAGCCCATGGAATCAGTTACTGCTGCGTGCAAACTTTTCTCCCTCTGCAGCAAGGGGATGTTTCAAACTTGAGACGACTGATGATTTCCTCAAAAGCCAGCTCCACAGGGGAATAACTGCAAACGGAGCAGCCTTGCTCAGAACTTTGCAATTGCCTCACTTTGGTGAGTCACGCTTATTTAGTAGCTTGTTTGTCGTTGAAACAAACGTGACTATCGATGGTGGGACTGAAGCAACCAACGCAGGCCTGCCAGGTCGGAATGAAAGCGTCCCCGTCCCTGCAGCACGAACCAGCCCCGCCAGCAGTTCATTACCTATCGACCCCTAAGGAACGAGAGCCAGCACGCCAAAGCGTCCCCACGGCTCGCAGGTAGCCGAAAACGAGGTGACACGCCTTGCACAGCGGTACCTCGGTTGCTAAAGCACCGCCGGCACGTCAGAACACGGGGCACGGCCCGCGGCCCCCCCGAGCGCACAGCCGGCCCACCGCCTCGGAGCCCTCCGTGAGCACCGCCGCCCGCCTCGCCATCCGCGGGGCGGCTCGGGGTTTGTTTTCCGTTCGTTTCGTCGGAGCCAGCCGCTCCTTCCCCGAGACAAAAGCCCGGCCGCGCTGACAGCCGCCGCAGCCGTCTGCGGGCCGCTCCCCGGCCGAGGGACGGCGGGGGCGGCGGGCAGAGGCACCTGCAGCCGCGCGGGGCCGCGTTGCGGGGCCGGCGGCGCCCGGCCGGCTCGGGGCTTCCCGCCCGCCCTGCCCGCCCTGCCCTCGCACCGCGCCGCGGCCACCACCTGACAGCGCGGGGCTCGCACAAAGCCGCGGGCCGAGGCGGCGCCGAACCGCCCCGCGGGGCCCGCGCCGCTCGCCTCCAGCCCCGGGCCCCCGCTCCTCCGTCCCGGGAGGCGGCGAGCCTCGGCCCGAGAGAGGCGGGCGGCCCCTTCCCCGCGGCGGGAGGTACCTGTGTCAGGGAGAGGTGGGCGGCCATGCTGCTTCCATCATGCACCGGCCGGGCCGCAGGAAGGACGCGCCGCGACCCAGCACTCGCTGCCCAACTTCGGCAACTTCCCCGGACGGTCCCGGCCAAAACCCGGCACCGGATCCCCGCCCGCCGGCCCGGAGCCGGAGCCTCCGCCCGCAGCGGTAAAGCAAACCCGGGCGGCGGAACGCGGCTGGAGCCGGAGCGCTGGAGGCGGCTGCAGCAAAAACCCGGAGCCCGTGTAATGGGTTGGTACGGATCGGGTCTCGTGCTTGGCTCCCAGTCTGTGCCGTACCGCCCCCGCTGGCCCCAATGCTCCACGCGTTCCGAACCCCCTGGCTCAGCCGTCGCCCAGCTGGGGAAGTCCCCAGCCCAGAGCTGCAGCATCTCTGGGATTTGAGTTGTGACAGTTGGGAAAAGGGCCCAAGAGGAAGCGGTGTGGGTCCGGCACATCCCCGGCAGGGTCAGTCCCAGCCACAGGCACTGTGCCGCAGGGCCCGGCCTCACACAGGAGCTGCCCTTGTACCTGCTCCCTCCCACTCAGCAGCTATTTTGGCCGCTCCCCTGACCGCTTTGCACTACCACAAAGTCATACATCAGGAACCGAGGGGGGAGGAAAAGCATTCTTATTTTTGTACTCGAGCCAAAGATGGACCAGGTATGAGTCTACCATTCAGACCAGAGGAAATTATCAGGAATCGTATCTATTGGAAAGGCTTTGCAGAGTGCATTGTGCCTTCCTCTGTTCTTCATTCCCTAGCACTGAAATCCTTTTCCAGCTCAGTTTCACGGTTATGCTAATGCTCACACCCACCTCTGCAGCATGTCAGTCCTCAGTCCTTGTTAGCTGCTATCTACATCTGCCACTGGACACGTGGGATCCCTCTTTCTCACCTCTTCTCTAATGAAGGTTTTCTGGAAGCTCTGCTTTGCTGACCTCTTTCTGAGAGGAAAAAAAAAATGATATGAAACAATATCAAAAGCAAATAGTATAATGTATTCACACCATTCACAGTGATTGTCACACCTCTACCTCGTGTTCATTTCCTCTGAAGTAAAATTCCTAGAAAATAGCACATGCTCTTATCTTTGTAGGTTGATCTTTTTCATCTGTGATTAAAATTGGAATACTATCCCACAATAATTAGTATCTGGAAAATAAACCAGAAGATTGTGAAACCACAGCTATGTCTCCACAGGACAGCAGTATTGGAGCTTGTCAACATTTGTGGGGCACAGAGAGAATGCTGGATCCCCACAGGCTGCCAGAGGCTTGAGGTAGGAGGTTAGAAGCTAATGGGCAGCTCTGAGGTTGTGGTTCTGGACCTCTACAGCTACAGCTTCTCTTTCAGTACACATGGTCACAACGTGTGACCACTCAGCCTGGAGTCACAGTGCAAGAATCACTCAAGGTAATTATGTGGGCTCTGCTAATTAAAATAATAATGAGCTCCGATCAGTCAACGTTGAGTTGGGGCAGACATGGTGTTGAGTGTTCTGTGTTCTGGGCCTCCTGCAAAGGAATCTTGTCCTGGATCCCAGCTACCTGAGTTAAAACAGCTAGCTGCTGGCCTCTGACATCTCTGTAATATACAGCAGCGCTCATCAGCTCGCTGCCAATGAACTTGTGCTGCAGATTTCTGTGAATCTAGACATGACAGCTCCCAGGAGAAAACAGCGATCTGCTTCTAACCCAGAATCAAAATCTCAAGAGGACATGGATAAGAGTACTAGTATGCTGTTTCAGTGCAAAACCCCTTTTTAAGACACTGTGCAAGTGTGTAATAGGACTTGTGCTAGTACAACCAACTTGAGTTTGAAGCTGTGCTACAACTGTACAGTTTAGAAAGGCCTCACACAAGTGAGAATCAGATGCTCACAACCTCTGTGTTTTATACATCTCTTATAGTCATCAAGTACCTTTAGTAAGGCTAATAACATTTTAATGAGATCCACTGGTCTCCCTGGAAATAACATCTAAATGTCCATGCCTTCCTTTATTACAGCATTGTTTATGGCTCTGCACACAGGAAGCCCACTATTTTTCTTCCCAAACAACACGTAGGTATTCCGTGTGACCTGTTCTGCTCGTTCTAGGAAAAGTATTATTACAGCCCATGAATGCTCTGGATGCTGACAGGAGCGCTGACTCACTCCTGCCTCCTGCACACCTCAACATGAAATGACTTAGCCAGCTTTCTGGCATTTCAGCACAAGGCAGGTTAGGAGCTCCGATACTACAGACACCAAATGGAGGATTGAAACTGTGAAGTGAAACCCCTTGGATTTTCACAGAACAAAAGGAAATGTTTGCACAAACACACAACATCCTGTGGGAAAAAAAATTGCAATTCTCTGATCAAAGAGTGGAAATAAAAGAATTGCTCACAGGTAGGCACAGACTGTTTAGGCTTCTTTCAAAAAGTCAAGCAACAGCTGGGCTCCTGACGCGCAGCAGCATTTTACCACACTTCTGGTGCTGATAGGTCCCTACGGAGAAGTGGGATCAGCACAAAACTCTGGTGACCTTTTGGACTGAAAGTATCTTTTATCAGAAATGTCAGAGTACTTTCCAGGGCCAGTGACACAAGTTGTTTTAGGAGATCCCAAATGCAGGTGTGTCTCTAAACAGTAACAAATGATATGCTCTATGTGCTCTTTATGCTATATGCAGCTGCAAGGTTTGTGGGTGTAGCATTCCTGATAGGCTGTTATGTTTTAAGGCCACAAGAGACCATTAAAATAATCTAGCTTGATCTTCTCCATAAGATTTTCCATGGGTATCTGTTAATTTTTTGCATGAAGCCTGTAATGACTGAGTACTACAGCATATCTTCCACAGAGATGCCAAGTTACCAACAAACATACAGCAATCATTCTGAAAGCTGCATCCTAATGACTAATCTGCTTACTCCTCTTGTGCTGTGCTCTTGACTTTCTCGTGGTGGTTTGCAGGCAGATGTGTTGCAAACATTTTAAAGGGGGCTGTGGGAAGATCAAATTCATACAAAATAGTGTCAGTATTAAAGAAGCACAAACGAGGATATTAAGGTATCTTTACATATTCAGTCAGCACGCAGTTTTCTGTTCTGGCAGTCTTCTGTCACGTAGAGTACAGGATGGAGTAATTGGTTTTACCTCTGTTTTGGGGACATTATACAATTTGTATTGCAAATATTTAGAAACCCAAAAAGCAAAACCATTTCTGAAGTATGATATTTAGAATTCTTATTAATAGACTAGGAATTTATAAGACTGTAAGCATATTTTCTCTAATTTGCATGGGCCAATCTCATGGGGCAACACCTCAAGCCACAAAAGAATTAGATAAAATATAGATATTTATTAAAAATACTAATCTGATCTCTAATACACTAGATGGATGACACACAGTAGAATAACATTTTTCACAAAGCATTTAATTTTTAGTTCAAAACCATGCTTAGAAAACAGAAAAATCTTCAACAGCATTAATTTGACCACAGGTTTAATAGTTGAAGACGCAGCCATTCCTTGTACAGCTTAATATACACTTGGACAGAAATAGAACAAGCATTACCACTGATGCAACAGCAACAGTTTTCATTATAAATTAAACACATCAATATTGTAATGTGTGTTGTATATTCAACAATAATGAAGATTGAAAACTAATATGCTTACAAAGCAGTAAGCAAAAAAGCTTACGCTTTGTTCTGTTTTTCCTGAGGCATGTTGTCTATATTTCAAGTCCAGGCAATGCAAGATTTGCCTTCCCAAAACAATTACAGGTCTGCTGTGTTGTAAAATGAATATATTTTAAAAATCTACCTGCTGAATTCCCTAATATAAAATTAATCCACTGTGCCAATCAGAAAGATTCTTAGTTCATTTCAGAATTATAGGATACATTAAGTAATTAGGTAAAAGAATGTGTTATTGAATTGTTTTTCTTCTCATAGAATTGTTCATCTAAGACAAACTCATAACTATTTATGGCATTATGCATTTTGAGGGCATTGCTGTATATCTTGACCTTCTCTTTTTTCAATACTCCTGTTTCTTTTTCTCTTCTTATAAATTCTTACTGTCTTCTCAGGTTTCCTTCATTTTCTTCTATTCTTAATTACAACCCTAAGAGAATATCAACGTGGTTTGGAAATAATGGAAATAAAATGGCATTGATGCAATAATATTGGCCATACGACAAAAAAAAACCCCAAACTTTCTCAAATCACTCATCTAGTACCTGCAACTCCTCAAGCTAAGCACTGATTCTTAAAAAAAAGCAAAACACTTAAACATGCACTTAAACTCTTCCTTACTCAGGACAACACAACAGTCATGTATTTAATTTTACATTAGTAAAACTCTTTCCTATGTTTAAGTGATGTTCCACTTGGTTTCACCTCTCTCATGTATATGAACTACAGCGATGAGACCACTGGTGACAGAACAGAGCTGTCAGGTGGGCTATGGTACCATGACTGCCAAAGGGATGGCAAGCAGATGGGTCAAAAGCCATAACAACAATGGAAAATCAATGGCATTTGAAAAGGTTTTAATGATTTCTCCCTCAGCAGACAAGGCTGATTTAACTGTGTTAACTAACCATGATTAAGCTACATTTAAGACTGTGCTAATTAAAATGTGTGATTCTACGCCTTTGTTGCTATGGAGGAGATCATAAATCATTGACAATAGTGAGAAAGGAGAGCAAAGCATTACTTGCCTCCATTGGTAGCAGGCATATATGCTGTAAGAGAGACTGCAGGCTGCACTTTGTATTGTATTTGTATAGTGAAGTCCCTTCTGCAGGCTGAAGGAATTTGGTATGATTCAGTAGGAATTTCTTCTTGCTGCTCTCCTCCTGCTCAGAATCACTCCTGCTGTATGTCCATAGATGAGAAAGCCCCACCTTGGGGGATTATTTCTGATTGAATGCTCTGTAGCAGGGAGAGAAATGTGTTCTGCTCCTTGGCCAAAAATTGCACAACACTGGCAGGCAAAGTGTTCCTTTAAGTGCAAAACAAATAATCCCGCTGGTGTCAGCATGTAAGAGTGAGGAATGCTGCCTTAAAACCTCCCTTGTTTTTTTGAACTACTGATATGTAATTAAAACACACCACCTTTCCTTTTCCATTCTTCTAAATCAGTTGTTATTATGAACCCAGCACTGTAACGCAGCTGATGAGATAGCACTTAAAATTTGCTCTTCAGTGAAAAATATTTTAAACGTACAATAGATAGCAAAGTCTGAGTATTACCTCCTTCAGGCAAAGTATGGGTGCAGTGAGTAGTTCTAAATTTAGTATTTGTTCTTGTCTGGTTGCACAAATATGCAATTGAAACATTAGAGACAACCAAATTATTCCTTTAATGACTCATTTGTTTTCTGTTTTGTTTTGAGATTGAGTTGCAAAACTAATGCAGCAATGATTCAGCCTTAATGGAACTGTTTAAGGTGTGCATGTGATCGATCAGATGTAAAAGAACATGAGTAAAATTCAAACTCCACCAGCTGACATGGACTTGCATAACTGTGACCTTACGCTTCTTTTCTATTGTTTGTAGTAAGAAAATTGAAGCACATTCACCTCTTGCACTGCAACAGAAGTAACTGTAAAGGTTTGGCAATCACCCATTAAAAAGTGTCCTTAGCTGAGTTTTAGTAGCACTTAAAGCAGCTGTAGAAAATATTTCCAGTGCAGTAATTACCATGATTGAGAAAACTACATCATGGATTTCAGTGGTCTCATGACAGCTTTTTGATGACAAATGCTTGGTTTACAAATAAAACTGCATTTAAAAGTATTCTGGCC